TCATGCAAGGCCTAACGGCCATCAAGTTAAACACTATTCGGTCAACCAAAGCTTCCATCCCTTAAGTCGAACGGTTAAGCCGCTTGCCCATCCCCGGGTCGTACGCGCAGTTACCCGATACACGGGGTCATCATCCCTATCATCACGCCATCTAGCCTCCTCAACGTGATTGATAGTGCGATTTGGCACTGGGGTGGATGTCCCGGTCGCGCCGCGACCTGGAACGATACGGAACTGCTAGTACCGTGGGAGGACAGCCGGGCGCACAGAGCTGCGGATCCTCTCCCGGCACCAGAGGAAGCCTAATGGCTCATGACTGGCTTATTCCTTTCCAGCCGGTTCATTTTCTCTTTCCGGCGAACTCCGTTTGCGGTCCGGCGCCCACTTGCCCCCCGCGTTTCGCCCCCGTGAGTGAACGCTCTGAACGAAGTTGCCGACCGGGCGGCGGGCTGTTCGTTATGATTTTTCACAACGGGTTTTACTCCTTCTTTGTTCTGCGAGTCCTCTTTCTTCCCTCAATACCTTCTATGAACGGCCCACCTCGATTAATCGCTGCAGTGGCCCACCTTGCCGCACACCGAGCGAACAAACCGATCCCCCCGAACCCCCTACAAACACCACCCCCTTTTTCAGTCTTTGGCAAAATTGGCCAGCACTGCCAATTTCCCGTTTTCTCCACACTCATCAAACCGGTGAGGGCCATTACCTACTCCGACCCAACCACCACCCGGGAACCCGGCCTGGAGTCACACCGTGTCCAGGGTTCTTAGATTTCGATAACTGCGGAACGAGAGTCGGCGAGGTAAACTCCCATGGGCCAATCACCCCAGACTGCTCACTCGCACCATTGCCTCAATCTCCCTGGTATCCACTACCGTAACCTGTGCTGGAATGAATGCCCCACACCCATAACGACAAGTTGCGCACCTCCCCATCGCTGGTCAGCGAAGACGGAAACCTGATTTTCCGGTCGATAATGGATAGCCTCGGCTAGCTCGTCCTTTCAATTCCCCGAATATCCCCAGTGCTCTGGGCTCAGCGGATATCTCCCCTTGTCCACGGACTTCTTGATGGTAAAACCCGAAATGGGCGTTGCGTCCGGTTTCCCTTTAGGATTAAACTTGCGTGGTTAAAATACCGTCGAAACAACTGTCACTACACAATCGTTAGCAGAGGCTGATCATGCTACCCAAGGTGTTTATTGATGGGCATACCGGTACCACCGGCCTTCGGATCCACCAGTGGATGGCGGACCGTAACGACATAGAACTGCTCACCCTTCCGGAAGAACTGAGGCGGGACGCGGAAGAGCGTCGGGGCCAGATTCTGGAGTCTGACGTTGCCGTGCTTTGCCTGCCTGACGACGCTGCCGAAGAAGTTGCCGGCTGGGTCGAGGAAGCCGACACTCGCCTGATCGACGCCAGCACCGCCCACCGGGTGGCCGAGGGTTGGACGTACGGGCTGCCGGAACTTGAACCCGGGCAACGGGCAGCCATACATGACTCCAAGCTGGTATCGAATCCCGGATGCTATCCATCAGCGTTTATCTTGCTGGTCCGTCCATTGGTTGACGCGGGATTGCTCCCCGAAGATGCGCCGATTTCCATCAATGCCTTGTCCGGCTATTCGGGCGGCGGGAATTCACTAATAGGCAAATGGGAGAATCCTGAGAATGGCCTGGATGCGCTGCCCTTCGAGGCGCCCTATGCCCTTTACCAGCGGCACAAGCACATTCCTGAAATGATGAAGTTTGCCCGGATAAGCGCCGAGCCCCAGTTTGTGCCGGCCGTCGGCCCCTTTCGCTGCGGCATGAGGGTACAGGTGCCAGTCCACGCGTCTATGTTGAAGTCCGGCGCCACTGGAGAACAGGTCTGGGAAGCCCTGTATGACCGCTACCTGGGAGAGCAGTTCGTCGAAGTGGCCCATTTACAAGAGGCCGGCGCATTGAACGAGCTCAGCTACAATCCGGAAGTTTGCAACGACAGCAACCGAATCCAACTGCACGTTGCCCCACATCCGTCAGGGCACGTTTTGCTGATCGCCCTGCTGGACAACCTGGGCAAGGGCGCCTGCGGTGCAGCTATTCAAAACCTGAACCTGATGTTGGGGTTTGAGGAAGGGGCGGGGCTGCCCAACTCGTTATAATAGGGAAAATGCCCTCAGAGGTGTTTCCGTTGCAGGTAACTCTAGAAGAAGCCAGGTTTATGCTTGACGAGCTTTAAAAAATTGCGGAGAGCGGGCTGGACGTGGTCATCACCAAAGATGGACAACCGTATATGAACTTGGCTGCCTGCCACCCAATGGCTGAATCAAAAGGACAACACCTCAAATCCCGTTCTGAATTGAGGAAACAGCTGCCACCAGACTCGTTCGAACCGCTTCCGGGATGGGATGAACCTCTGGCATCCCTGTTTGATTCGGCCCTGAACAGCTAGAGAAGATAGTGCTTCTCCTGCTCGATACCCACTCGCTCGTGTGGTGGCTTTGGAACTTCCCTGATTTAGGCCCCGGTGCGCGAGAAGCAATAGACGACCGTGGAAACCAGGCATTTATCAGTGCGTTCAGCATTTATGAAATCGGCTATAAGCGCAATGCAGGCAGACTCGAGGCCCCAGAGAACTTGGAAGCCACCTTGTCTGGGCTAGGCTTCACCGGACTGCCAGTTACTACAGCGCATGCCGAAGTGGGCAGCCGATTGCCAATGCATCATCGCGACCCATTTGACCGAATTCTGATCGCCCAAGCCATGTCAGAGGGTATGGCCCTTGTTACCGCGGATAGCGAGATTAGGAAATACGAGGTGTCGGTGCTGCCAGCGCAGGACTAATATCTCTGAAGATCCCGCACTTCCAAGTCTACCTGCCAGGTGTTCATGCCCGTAACCAAAGAAGTCCTCGACGAAATTGCCCTCAGCCAGGCCGAATACGAGATGATCGTTGAACGGCTGGACCGGGAACCCAACCCGGTTGAATTGGGGATGTTTGGCGCCCTATGGAGCGAGCACTGCGGCTATAAACATTCCCGCCCGCTTCTCCGTTTTTTCCCCAGTAGTTCCCCTCGCGTGTTATCCCAATCAGGGGCCGAAAACGCCGGTGCCGTTGACATTGGCGACGGCCTGGCCGTGGTGTTCAAGGTTGAATCGCACAATCACCCGTCGGCGGTGGAGCCTTTACAGGGAGCCGCGACCGGCGTGGGTGGCATAGTCAGGGACATTCTGGCTATGGGCGCCCGGCCTATTGCCCTGTTGAACTCGCTGCGTTTTGGCCCACTGGATTCACCTCATAACCGCCACCTGTTTCGCCGGGTGGTGGAGGGCATTTCCTGGTATGGGAACTGCATTGGAGTCCCCGACGTGGCAGGAGAAATCTACTTTGACGAGTCCTATTCCCACAATCCGCTGGTGAACGCCATGTGCGTTGGCCTGGTGGCAACGGACAAACTGGCCTCAGCCGCCGCAGGTCGGGTCGGAAGCGTGCTCCTGCTTGTCGGGGCCGAAACGGGCAGGGACGGCATTCACGGCGCATCGGGTCTGGCATCACGGACCTTTGAAGAAGAACAGGAACTGCGTCCCACCGTCCAGGTTGGCAACCCCTTCCTTGAAAAGGTGCTCATTGAGTCCTGCCTGGAAGCACTGGAAACAGGCTGTGTTAGCGGCCTCCAGGACCTGGGAGCGGCCGGGCTGACCAGCGCAGCCATAGAGTCGGCTTATCGCGGTGGTCGAGGCCTGATACTGGACATTAGCCAGGTGCACCGGCGGGAACCCGGAATGTCGGGGTACGAGGTGATGCTCTCAGAATCCCAGGAGCGAATGCTGTTGGTGACGGCCCCCGAGCATGTGGAACGGGTCCAGCAAGTCTTCCGCAAATGGGACGTACCCTGCCGCGAGATCGGGCAGGTGATCCAGGAACCCCGGGCCCATGTGCTTGAGGGAGACCGGCCCGTCGCCCAACTTCCGATAAAGCACCTGACCGAAGCGCCCCGTTACAGGCTTAATGGTCAACAGTCTCTCGAACAGCGGGACAGGCAGCGCCTCGTTCTGGACGAAATACCATTGCCGAGGTCCAGCGTGGCCGATACCTTGCTGCGGATGCTGGCCGCGCCGAATGTAGCCAGCAGACGATCGGTCTACCGGCGCTATGACCACCAGGTACAGACCAATACGGTGGCAGGGCCGGGCAGCGACGCCGCCGTGTTGAGAATCAAGGGAACGGGCAAGGCCATCGCTTTGAGCATAGACGGCAACGGACGCTTCTGTTACCTCGACCCCTATCGCGGCGGGCAAATCGTGGTGGCCGAGGTGTGCCGAAATCTTTCCAGCACCGGCGCGGAGCCGTTGGCTCTGACCGACTGCCTTAACTTTGGCAATCCCGAGCGTCCCGAAATTTATTACCAACTGGAATGGAGCATACGTGGCATGGCCCGGGCTTGCCGGGTGTTGGGTGTCCCGGTGGTTAGCGGCAACGTAAGCCTTTACAACGAGTCCCAGGGCCAGGCAATTTACCCGACGCCGGTCGTTGGTGGATTAGGACTGCTGGAAGACGTCACGCGGCATGCCAAATCCTCCTTTCCCGAAGAAGGACTGGATGTCTACCTCGTGGGCCAGAGAAACCTGAGGCCCCGTGCATCCGATTTGGCCGGCAGCGAGTTTCTGCAAGCCATCCACGGCCTCGTCGCGGGAAGACCTGCAATCAACCTTGCGCTTGAACGACGGGTACAGGCCTTGTGCCGCAAGGCCATAGCCCAGGGAATCGTCGCTTCCGCCCACGACTGCTCCGATGGGGGGTTGGCCGTGGCGCTTGCCGAATGCACTTTCGCCGAAGGCATAGGCTTCCGAGGGGTCGGTTCCTTGTCCAGATTGATGGCGCGCTGGGATTGTTCTTTGTTTGGAGAACGCCAGTCCCGCATCGTGGTGTCGCTGTGCCCCGAAAGTGTTTCCGGAATTGCAGCGAATGGCAACGGAACTGGACGTTCCTTTGCTGGAGCTTGGCAAGACGGGCGGCTCCCGGTTCCGCCTGGGATCATACGCGGACCTGGAAGTCTCAGAAATTGCCGATGCCTGGAGCGGTGCGCTGGAACGGGCGCTCGTGGATTGAGAAAGCAGCCTGGGGAAACAAATCCGACTACACTATTAGAATTCAGGGGCGACCACGTGGTCGCCCCCCTCTCATTTGAAAACGCGGCGTAGTTTGTGCTGCTCGGTTGCTCCCCTAACGGGGGGCAGCACCTCCAGGTAGCCAACCTCCAGTTCAGTAGAATCCTCACCGCCACCACCGGACTGATCGTGGTGGTCAGCACCAGCCTGGCTGCCAGCATCGCCACCGTGATTTCCGGCGCTGGCCTGGCTATCGTGACCAGTCGAGCCACCGGCGTCGCCATTTTGGTTACCCGTGCTGTCTGCATCGGAAGAGTCGTGGCCACCAGTCACATCGCTGTCTGCATCATCCGCCTTGGCCTCCTCGTACACCTGCGTCGACTCCTCCACCTTAATGCCATTGTAATGGTATGGCTTTCCCTCGTTATTCAGCAGGGAGACGGTGAACGTATGCATTCCTTCCCCCTGGGCCGGAAGCTTGAGCCAAGGGACAAAGAGCTTGGATACGGTCTCTTCGTCGATTGCAACCTGGGCATGCCCCTTCCCTGGCGCGTGGGACAGGCGACTGCCTTGGGCGAACTCAAAACCGTTGGGAACAACCTGCAAGTTATACCCACCCAGCGGGTCCCGGTGGGCCAGAATCTTCAAAGACATAGGGGCCTCCGAACTTACCGCTTCCAACGTTTGGCCCATTTGGTGGTCGTCGAGCGCTCCCCCATCCGGTGCGGTCACCGTCGTAGAGGCCTCCAGTGGACTGCCCTGCCAGGTCAATTCGTTGTGCTCATTGGCGTTAAGCGACACCCGAACTTCATGGCTTCCGGGTTCCAGAGATGGGAGATAGTGATAGGAACCGTAGATTCGGCCAACCTTTTCACCATCAACATACACGTGAGCGTGACCGGCCCCGGGGGAGTTGTCGCCGTTCACCTCTTCAGGGGCCCAACGCCAGCCTTCCGTCTCGATTGAAATGTGCAATCCACCGGTGCTGTCCCACTCGGCAGCAATTTCAACCTCGACCGGCACCGTTGATTCCATCGGGCCATGATCCGCAGAGCCGTGATCCATTGCACTATTGCTTTCGGAACTCGTTATACCTTCGCCATCGGAAGGCATGGTCATACCGGTTTCAGCCTCGACGGTTGAACCATGAAAAGTGAGGGGAAAGCGCCCTGTAGCGTCGGCCACAAACTGGATCTCCGCTGGGCTGCCGGAGCCCGACTCCCCTTCAAGGTCATACCCGTGCAGATGAAAAGTACCGGGATTGTCCGATTCTATTTTCAGGGTAACTGTATCGCCTTGTTTTGCCGTAATGGTAGTTGGGGACATCTGCCCACCAGCGAAATTCGCCGTAACTGCAATCTGTTCCGAGGCATCGCTGGGGCCGCAGGCGGCCAACAGCAAGAGGGCCGGAACCAGGAAACAAAGCAATAGGAACAACTTAGCCTTAATCAAACGACGCATGATAACTCCTGACTAGCTCATGAAACTGGATAGGAAGACAACACCGCAAGCAAGTCGCCATGGGACGACATCTATCTCCGCAAATGCGGCTACTGGAAACAGGCAGTCTAGACGCAAGCGGTCAGTTAGCAGGAGTTATGCAGTGGGAGGTTTCCGGGGTGGGGAAGGCTGCGCGCCAACAGGCGTAACACTGGTTGGTACAAAAGATGCCAGCAATGGAGAGTCCTCGGGGTCGGGAAAGAGCATCGATACCTTGGCAGGACCGGTGACTGAATAGATGGCCCCCATGCCGGCGCCATCATACCTGGTGAAGAAAGCCACGCCATCCGTCTGGGGCAAGTCACTGCCAGCATCGCCCAGGGTAAGGTGGCCGTGGCTGTCGTAGATATCGTAAATGTGGATGTGAAACCCAGGTCCTTCGTCGGGGACACCGCCCAAATAGGCGTGGCCGTGGCCGTGCTGCCATTCCACGTAGTGATGATCCAGCATCGGGCCGGTCACCGGAAGCAACAGGGCGTACAGGGCCACAATTATGAATGGACGTACCAGTTGAACCATCATCTGTTGCGCATCTGTGCCTGCGATTGAACCAGATCCCCTGGGACCGCCATCCGCCTAAGCCCTGGCCTTCCGCCTTCTAATGCCCGCCTTAATCCGGTCAAATGTCCAGATTCCTACGGCAATCACAGCCACTGCAATTGCCGCCACCAGAATCAGGTTTATGGGGCGGCCTTCGCGAACATCCAGGGACAACTGGATAGTCTCTTCGCCCAGTTCGGTGCTTGCGTTAATGCTGACCTGCCAAACGCCAGGCGCGTCAAAGGGCAGGGTAGTCTCGAAGAACTGGGGCAGGACATTATTGTCGGCCACAATGGGCCCGAAATTAGTGCCCTGGCCCGGCCCTGTCGCTGAAATATTTACCGATCCCTCGGTTAAAGTGACCTCCGAACTCAGTTCAATGATTCGCAGGCTAAGGTGGGTGTTGTTGACCACTGCTCTGCTGGGCAGGATAGAAACTTCAAATCTGTAGGGCCCCTGTTCCTGGGTTGAAATCAGAGTTGCCTTTCCATTGGCGGAAACCGGAGAATCCCCAAGTCCGCTAAAGCCTATGACCAGCGCTGCAAGGATAAACAGGATTTTGAGGAATACGAGGTACCGGGGATGGCAAACAATCAAATCAAGTGTCCAAATAGTGTAGAGGTTTAATTAGGATACCACGCTGCCACAGCAGCAACAATGCGGAGTGGAAATAAACTTTAAGCGTACCTCGCAGTGTCAATTGACGCTCTGCTTCGAATGCAGAGCGGTTCAATCTATTTCCAGTGGGCGATTGCCAACTCTTTTCAATGACCTGGCAATCTCCCACAGTGCCACAACCAAACAAGGCTACTATTCTGGACCTGGTTGGGGCACCTTTACTGGTGGTTGCCCCGTTGTCAGCCGTCCGGCAACACTTCCTGCTGTAAGAAGATGCGTGTCAGGCGAAGCTCATCATAGGTGTAGTCCGGGCCAAGATACTCCCATGCCGGCTTCAGGTACTGGTTACCGCAGACATCGAAAGCCTCCTTAATACGACGGAGATGTTCAGGGGAAGGCAATAAGTGCTCCAGGTGAAGCAGTTCTCCCTGGGACACCATCCGTTCAAGCTGACCGACGATAGTTGATTCCGCCAGGTTTCTTTGCTCAGCTATCTGGGCAACCGTAAGGTTCTGGGCCAGCAGGTCCCTGGTCTGTTGGTAAGTCGAACTGGCCCTGCCTGTGGACCGCCGGGGGGACTCTTCCTCGGTGGCCGGTTTCCTCGACCTCGCTTGCTTCAATGCTTCCCTGGTTTGGTCCGGTATTCCTTTAGCCTCGGCATATTCTCGAATTACGGCAACGAATTTTCTTCCGTATTCTTCAAGCTTCCTTGAGCCAACGCCGGGTATAAGGCCAAAGGTAGCAAGGCTTTGGGGCATCGCGCTGGCCATGTGCCTCAGGGAGGCATGGCCGAATACGACAAAAGCTGCCATGTTCTGTTCATCCGCCAGCCTCTTTCGCAGCCCTTGAAGCTGCTTGAAGAGTTCTACGTCATAGTCTGGCTGCCCTGCGTCGGACTGCCGAGATAACTTTCCGGAAGACTCCCGGTTTTCCGCAGAGGATTTCAACACGGGCAGCGAGAGTTTGTTCCGTTGCTGCAGGAACTCTTTTCCCTTGTCGGACACTGACAGGGTGGCAAACTCGCCCTCGTTCCTGCTTATCAGGGCGCGGGCCTGCAAGTGGGCAACAATCTCCCGCAACTCTGCTTCGCTGAAGTCTTTGGCAATGCCGTAAACACTCAGCCGGTCGTGCCCCAGTTCCAGCACGCGCTTCTCCCGGCTCCCCCTGAGCACTTTTGAAACGTGCAGCGCGCCAAACCGTTCCCCAGTACGTATCACGGCAGACAGCACTTTCTGGGCTATTTCGGTGGCATCAATTTCGTCATTGGCGGCGAGGCACACGTCGCAGCTTCCGCAATTTTCTTCTTCCCAGTCTTCGCCAAAGTAGCCCAATATATTCTTGCGGCGGCATAGAGGAATTTCCGCAAACTCGACCATCCGGGACAGTTTCAGGCGGGCGTTCTCTTGTTCCACCCGCCCCTCAATCTGGTCAATGAAATACTCCTGCTTGGCCTTGTCGGCGTAGGAGTAGAAGAGGACGCACTCGCTGGGGAGCCCATCCCGTCCCGCCCGGCCCGTTTCCTGATAATAACCTTCCAACGACTTGGGAAGGCTATGGTGGGCCACCAGGCGGATATCGGGTTTGTCTATCCCCATCCCAAAGGCAATGGTAGCGACAATAATAGGGACCCGATCCCGAATGAAGTCCTCCTGGGTCCGGCGCCGTGTTTCCGGGTCCAGGCCGGCGTGATACGGGCGGGCCTTCAGGCCACGGGCGTTCAGGTCTTCGGCCAACTCTTCGGTCTCTCGGCGGGAGAAGGCATAAATTATAGCTGACTCTCCTTTATGGGCCCCTAAGAGGGTTAGCAGTTTTTGCCAGTAGCCTTCTTTCGATTGCACCGAATAGGTCAAATTGGCCCGGTTGAAGCTGGATAGAAAGACCCTTCCCTGCTGAAGGCCCAATTGTTGAACTATGTCCTCCCTGACTTGCCAGGTGGCTGTCGCCGTCAGGGCGATTGCCGGCACCCCCGGAAAGGCCTGCCGCAGTTGCCTCAAATTGCGGTAATCGGGACGGAATTCATGGCCCCACTCGGAGATGCAGTGGGCTTCGTCGATGGCGATAAGGCTGAGTTCCACATTGCTGAGAAAATGCCGGAATCCAGGCATGGCCAGGCGTTCCGGAGCCACATAGAGAATCTTGGCTTGCCCACGGCTTGCCTCGCCTTGCGCCAGTTCTATCTCTGATGAGGTCAGGGAACTGTTAATGAACCGGGCCGGAATGCCATTGGAGTTCAGGGCATCCACCTGGTCTTTCATGAGGGCGATCAGAGGGGACACCACCAGGGTTAATCCCGGCAAACACATGGCGGGCAACTGGTAGCACAGGGACTTGCCGCCGCCGGTAGGCAAGAGCACCAAGCTATCCCGACCGGAAAGGACATTGGTAATTATCTCCTCCTGCAAGGGGAGGAAGCTGTCAAATCCAAAATGGGATTTGAGAATATTCAGTGGTGGGGAGGAATTACTCATAGAGGTTGTCTTCCGTCGTCGTGGGCGGCCCCTTGTAGTAGGGCCGGATGAGTAGGCGTCAGTCCGGTTATATTAAAGCCTCGCGGGTGTTCGGAAAAGGGGCGGAAGTCATAATTTCAGAAGCAAGCCACCCGGAACAGCCAAACCTCCTGAATTCCCTGGAAGCTGGACTAACCTGGTGTAGAAGCCCCAGGTCTCAAGGGGCAGAAAAGGGCTACCTGGAAGAGTCCCGGCAATAAGGTGCCGCAGGCTGGCGCCCAAGTAACGGGCATTGCCAGTAATGTAGAAAGTCAGGGGACGATGGCTGGTTATTCCAGCTGTATCAGAACTATTTCCTGCTGCACCGGAGAAGAGGCGAAGGGCCCTCGTCCGACATGTAGGCATCAATCTCCGACCGGACCCCAAAACTCGGTGAGGAAAATGCCCGGTTCTATGGAGAACCCAATGCCAGGGATTATGCGCCTGGTGTCGTGGGTTTCAAACCGTCCAGATTTACTGCTTCTCCGTGTACTTCGTAGCTGATGCTGTGGCCAAGCCGGTGGGTGAGGAATTGCCCGTACCCTCGCTCTTCGATGTGGCCCCGTGCCACCGCGTCGGCCTGCCACCCTTATGCCGGCTCCCCTCGCTGGCAGGACTCCTCCAGGGAATGCAACGCCGAGTCCCCGCGCCGAGGACAATATCAAAGACCTGTTATTGCAACTCCGGCGCCCTTTCTCCCACATATGGTGTCCAGGTTATGTCGGCGTAAACGCTGTCCGGCGTTGCCTCTCTTGCCCACAAATCTATCAGCACCCAGTCACCCGGTCGAAATGTGCTGCTGCCTTCTGGCTCCGGTTCGTAATGAGAGTCCGAGCAGTGGGCGTTGACCAACACAATGGACGGGTAACGTGACCTGACGCGGATATTACCTGGGGAAAGATGGGGTTGGAGTTTCGATAGTCGCGAATCAGCCAACCGGGCAATTCTTCCCGTACCAGGAAGTGCTGGGCTTCATCCACGATCTGTTGAAAGGCACAGGAGTTTACTATTTCACGCCCCGGCGGGTTGGCCTGGAGGCACAAGCGTGATGGAACCTGCAAAAACCGATGGAGGACTTCAGGGTCTTGCTGCTGCTATGGAGTTCGGCCGCCATCAACCGAAATGGTGGCCCCGGTCAGGTACCCGGCCTTTTCCGAGGCCAGGAACGCAACCATGTCACCAATTTCCTCAGGTTTTCCCAATCGTTTCATCGGAATCCGCTTGGCCAAGCCCTTGGCCACCTCGGCAGGCTCTGGGTCATCCTGATTTGCTCGAGTCCTGAGGAATTCCTCAAGTTCTTCCGTTTTCAGCGCGCCGGACAGCAGATTGTTGACAGTGATATTGAAGGGAGCTAGTTCCTGGGCCAAGGTCTTGAAATAACCGATGAGATAAAGCTGCCTCGCTATAAAGTGGTTGTTACCTTCGGCAACATCTTTGGTGGAAGCCAACTCCAAATTTATTATACGGCCCCAGTGTTCCTGCTTCATGTAGGGAATGACTTCGCGGCTCAGCCTGACCGCACTGAGCAGATGTCTCTCTATCTCCTCTGTCACTTCGCTATCATCGACATCGGCCAGTGATCCCCGGTTGGGTTGGCCGGTTCGCACTACCAGGATATCAATCTGACCAAAACGGTTAAAGGTGTCGCGCACCACCCGCCGGATGTCCTTCGGCTCCGACAGGTCCGCCGGCATGGCCAGGACATTATGTTGGGTGCCAACCCTTACAACTTCCATTTCGGTGCGGCGCAAGCCCTCTTCGTTGCGCGCGCAGATGGATACTCTTGCCCCTTCGCTGGCCAAGGCCATGGCAACGTGCTTGCCAATCTCCAGCCCAGCTCCCCCTACAATGGCTACACGTTCAGCGAGCCCAAGGTCCATTAGTTTTTCTTCCTCCCGCCAGCCTTCGCCTTAGCAGCTTATCGGTCGCATATTATTATGATCAAGGCGTATTCTAAGTAGATTGAATTACCATAGTATTACTATTATGTTCACTTGGTCAGGAAATTCCGAAATTCCCTCACGGAATTCCTCTCGCTCCATCCCACTCTTGGAAGCAACGACTTCCTCGATTCGGCATACGTTCAAGTAAAAGGCTCCGGTAGATTCCAGAAACTCCCGGCTAAAAATATTTAGATTCGTTTATCACCAGCCAGCTTAATATAATTCCCTGATTTCATTGTACCGGAAGCATGAGGTTAGGTGGTCATTGACCAAGCCTGCAGCCTGCATGAATGCGTAGCAGATGGTGGGCCCTACAAATCGAAAGCCCCGCCGCCGTAGTTCCTTGCTCATACTTTCCGATTCGGGGGAGGTGGCCGGAACATCGTTGCCCACGGGTCGGGCATTATCCACCGTCTCCCCGCCAACGAAAGACCAGATGAAATGGGCAAAGCTGTACTCAGTCTCCTGAATCTGGAGAAACGCGCGGGCGTTCCCTATGGCAGCGGCGATTTTCTGGCGGTTGCGGACTATCGCCGTTTCAGCCAGCAACCTTTCCATGTCCGCGTCGGTGTAGAGGGCTATCCTGTCTGGGTCAAAGTCGTCGAAGGCCCTGCGGTATCCTGCCCGCTTCCGGAGGATGGTTTGCCAGCTCAGGCCGGCCTGCGCCCCATCCAGCAGCAGGTACTCAAACAGCTTCTGGTCATCCCGCAGTGGCGTACCCCATTCTTCGTCGTGGTATGCGATCATCAAGGAGTCGCTTCCAGGCCAGTCGCAACGCCTCTTATCGTTCATCTCTCCGATGCCCCCCAATCAAATAGCCGAACCCAATTTACGAAAGAGGGTTCGGCCATACGTCAAATTCCGGTGTTCTCCAGGACTGAATAACGTCAGATCACAGACTTGACAACCATATCTTCGATCTCCGCGTCGGAGTAACCCAGGTCGTGCAGGATGGAATGGTTGTGTTCGCCCAGAAGAGGCGGGTGTTGATCGAGTCCACCCGGAGTCCGTGAAAACTTTATTGGCAGACCGGTCTGTTTGACTGACTCCAGCGTGGGATGAGGAATCTCCAGCAACATTTCCCGATGCAGGACCTGTGGATCGGAGAAAACGTCGGCCAGGTCGTTAATCGGGCCGGCCGGAACGTTGTTCGCCTGCAGGTCTGCCACCCACTCATCCGCGGGGCGGGTCAGGAAATGCTCCTGCAGCAACGGAGACAGCGTCGCCCGGTTTTCTACCCGTACGCCATTGGACGCATAATCGGGGTTGTCCTTCAAGTCCTCCCGTTTGACCGCCTGGCAGAAACGGTCCCAAAGCCGGTCAGAACCCACGGCAACGTTGAAGTACTTGCCATCCTGACCCATGAAAGCCTGGTAGGGAACCAGCGTAGGATGAGCCTTGCCCAGCCTCTGCGGGGGACGGTCGTAGGCAAAGTAGTAACCGGCCTGATAAGTCAACCATGCCACCTGAGCATCCAGCATGGAAATGTCGATATACTGGCCTTCGCCATCCTGTTCTCGCCGGTAAAGCGCGGACATCACGGCAAAGGCTGCCCACATGCCGGCGCCGATGTCTGTAACTGCTATCCCGATCTTTTCCGGCTCCCCCTCGGGGTGTCCGGTTATACTCATCAGGCCGCTGATACCCTGCATGATCTGATCGTAGGCCGGTCGACTCTGGTAGGGTCCGTTTTGGCCGAATCCGGATATGGAACAATAGACGATATTGGGATTGCTCTTCTTCACGGTTTCATAATCCAGCCCAAAGCGGGACATCACGCCCGGGGTGAAGTTCTCCACCACTACGTCCGAGTCTTCCACCAGTTTCAGGAAAATCTCTCTCGCCTTTTCTTCCTTGAAGTTCAGGGTGAGGCTGCGCTTGTTGCGGTTGATAGACAGGAAGTAGGCGCTCTCTTCACCAATGAAGGGCGGCCCCCACTGGCGGGTGTCGTCGCCGGTGCCCGGTATTTCTATCTTGATTACGTCGGCTCCATAGTCTCCCAGCATCAGCGTGCAAAACGGCCCCGCCAAAGCTCTGGTCAAGTCGAGCACACGAATCCCGTCAAGCGCCTTCATTCCTTCAAAACCTCCTGTTGCTAAACGACTATTGTTGACCGACCGCGTTGGTCAGCCAATATTAACACAGCAGTTGCTGCCCCGTAATTGTGCGCTTCCCGAACCTGGCTTCTGAGAAAAAAATACAACGCTCCCAAATACGACCAGACTGAAATTTTGATCCATCCATTGATGCACTGAGGCAATCCGCCAGGCTGGCCGGTTGCCTGGAATTGAGTCGGCTGTTAGACTGACCCCAATTGCCACTGATTTAACATTTGCCAAAGGGAGGGACATTATGACCAGCACCCAGACGCAGTCCCAGGCTACCTATCCCATCACTGACGAGAACCGCTTTACCGCTGTCTTCGGGGCTCCGGACCCCAGTGGCCGGGCCAAGACCAAGGTCGTTAATTACATGACTGATTTCGTCAAAGAGTTCATCAGCCAATCTCCCTTTGTTGTGATGGCCACCAGCGACGCGGAAGGCAACTGTGACGCTTCCCCCAAGGGCGGGCTGCCCGGGTTTGTTAAGGTGCTGGACGATCGTCACCTGGTGTTACCCGACGTGGCCGGAAACCGGCTCTTCCAGTCCTACCTCAACATGGACGCCAACCCGCACGTGGGGTTGATTTTCATGATTCCTGGCGTCAACGACACGGTCCGCGTCAACGGCACCGTCGCCATAGTCAACCAGGAGGAACTCAACCAGAAGGACGTGGAGGTCTCCCTTTACGAACCTGACGAGAGGGGCTACCACCTGCAGGGGGTAATTATTGAGGTGGACGAGGCTTACGGCCATTGCCCCCGTGCCCTCCATTTCTCCCGTTTCTGGGACACGGAAACCATCGAGAAGCACAAGGCCGACCGTCCTGTTCCGACGCGTTAAATAAACAGCCCGATGAGGGCCACGACATTGAAAAAGAGATGGGGCAGGATTCACCTGCCCCATTCGCTATTTGGCCGTACGCGCCATTTCTCGGCGCCTCTAAGATATTGCATTTATGGTGAAGTTGTCGGCTCCTAGTCCATCACGTCCTTATAGCCCGTGTTTGTTGGGTCAAAGCCATCGGGGAAGTGGGTAGTCTCGTCATACTTGGCCATGTTCAGGTCGGAGCGGTGAAGGCTGGCTTTGTCGAAGTCGGCGCCCCGCATATCGGCCATGATCCAAAGGGAGTCCCTGATCTTGGCCAGGGTGAAGTTGGCCCCTTCCATAACTGCCCGGCTAAGGTCGACGCCGTTCATGTTGGCGCCCTGGAAAGCGGCCCCAGTCAGGGTCGTGCTTCGCAGGTCGGCCTCGATCATGGTAGCCTGGCTGAAATCGGCATTGGTCAGGTCAGCGCTGATAAACGAAGTGCGCATCAGATGGGCTCCCCGCAACACCGCCCCGTGCAGATTTGACTGCTTGACGTCGGCCCAGAACAAATTGGCGCCGCTCAGGTTTGCGCTCACCATATTTGAACCGGTGAGTCCTGCCCGCGCCAGGTTCGCACTCTCAAGGTTGGCCCCAATGAGGTTGGACCCTGGCATGCTGGCACGAGTGAGCCTGCAACCCGAGAGATTGGCCCCTCCAAAGTTGACGTTTCGCATTTTGACCCCTGCCAAATCAACACCGGACAGGTCAGCCCCGGACAGGTCCAATGCGGTGTCCGGGTGTTCCTGCAGCCACTGAATCAGGACACGGCGACCTTGCAGCGCCGCCTCTACATGTTCCGAATTTGCCAAAATTAACTCTCCAGTCTTCTCTCTTTAGTAGCTTGTATGCCAATCCCTCAGGATAACCCTTAGACCTTGATTCAGGGGAACCAAGTTTCACAAACAGAAACAGCCCTGGACTCTATGGCCGGGGCTGCCTCTTTCAGTTGTACGCTTTCCGAGCCGCATCAAGCCCGGCTCACGGTTGGGTTAGGCGTTGGCCACTGCCTCATCGACCTGGAAAATCTTCTCGTCGATATCCATCTTCAGCTCGTTGGCGCGGGTCAAATTGGGATACACCCCGTCCTCGTCCATTCGATCGAAGATCTTCTCTCCATCCAGGTAAACTTCCAGCCTCCCCTTATCCGAAGGGGTAAGCTTAATGGCGATGTCGCCCGGGTTCTGGTACTTGAGGAACTCTGTCGCCAGCCACATGGCAACTGCATGGTAACCTCAAGGTACGCAGTAAACTATATCTACTTCGACCTTACCGAATTCAGCTCCTGGCATGGTCCTCCCCTCTATTGCCGATAGTGTAGTAATCCATACCTGAACCAAGTCCAGACTACAGGCGGTAGTTTAGCGCAACGAAGGTGCAAGTTCAAGCCAGACCTGCTGGTGCATAGCGTTGCAGTTTTGGTAGTTTGATTAACGAATTCCGTAGGGGCAGCCCTTGTGGCAGCCCGGTCTCTTTAGCAACACCACCTGAAACGGAAAACCGCCCTGCCGGTCAGCCGTTCCGCTAGGCCGCCCCGGGCGCCCAGTTATATATACTGGACAGCGACCCGCCCATCAGCACCGAACGATCCGCATCCGACAACTCGTCCGTGACCCGGAAAGCCTCCACTCCCTGGTCGAAAGTCAGCAAATTCGTTGCTCGGGTCCAGTCGGTGCCCCACAGGCAGCGTTCCAGGCCGTAGGCGTTGAATATCTGGCGCAGGGGTTCCCAAATGTCCGCATAGGGAAAGGTTTCGTGGGAAAGGGTGCCGGCGCCGGAAATTTTGATGGCCACGTTGTCTATTTCCGCCAGCGCCAACACATTTGGTAAATCGGCAAAGGGTTCGGAAGGCACCGGTGGTGCCGGTGGCTGAATGATGCCCAAATGGTCTATAACCATTTGGGTATTGGGGTGCTTCCGAGCCAATTCTCCAAACAGCGGAAGCTTCGTAGAACACATGACGTTAACCGGAATGCCCTCGGTGCCTGCCGCCGAAAGAATTTGGTTAATACCCGGGTGGTCAGCCTCAAAAGGCTCGGCGGACAGCATTATCCGCGCCCCAACAACCCCGGGCGTACTTGCCCACGCAGCCATGTCCTCGGCAATTGAGTCCGAATGGGGATCAAAGGGCCGGATCAGGCCAAATCGGGTTGGGTGCTTGGCATGAACCTCAAGGGCATAGCTGGCGTCATAGCGGTACATCGAGAATGGAGAAATCAACAGGGCTCCGTCAACGCCTACGGAGTCCATGGCTTCCACCATAATGTCCCCGGTAACTTCGTCCGGGCCCTGCAGGAAACCTATCCAGGGACGTTCCGGTCGGTTGCGCTCATAGCAGTGGACTTGGGAATCTATTGTGAGGGTCTGGGTAGTCATACTTGGCCTCCATGCTGGAATGTTTCAGCTCTGTGCCCGCAGTGATTGGCTTGAAAGTACCTTAAGTATGCCACATGACCGAGATTAAATCAGGATTCCCTCAGGTATGCGCAGGGCAATCACGCAATGAACAAATGTCATACTGAGCGTATTCGAAGATTCTGAGACTCTGGACTGCATGTACGTACAAGAATCAGTAACCGTTCTAAGGAACCTCTGAACAACTCCCTTCCCTTATCGAGGGGGAAGGGCAGTATGGCGGTGGCCGGCGCTCACTTCCTGACTGACGCCCCTAATCTTCCTCCAGGAGTTTCGGTCGTGGCAGCAATGTAAATGACTTATTCAGAGGTTCCCTAAAAGGAAGGTTCTACACCCTTCGGCATGCTCAGGGCGCTGTGATTGGGGTTACATTACTTGGACTTAAGACGATGCCTATGCAGGGGTGAGCGATAGATTGGGTCAAGACGCGATTGCCCTGCCGGCGAATCGCGTTCAGTTTCTTTTCGCCAAAGTCGGTGCTATTATTAGAGGGTTACGCTCAGGCGGAAGTAACTTCCGCCCTGTGGCTTTGACCAGTTATGCAATGGGGCTTCCAGGCTATTGCCGGTCCCGCCAGGAGATTGAAACACATGACTACCGAGTCAGTTAGTTTGGAACTGGAGCCCCGGGTTGTTATGGGGAAAAAGGTCAAGCAGTTACGCCGCACGGGAATGGTGCCGGTCCATCTATATGGGCCGGGCATATCTGACCGACCGCTTCAGTGCGAGCAAAAGCAGTTGCTCCGGGCATTGGCCCGCGCTGGCAATACTAATCCGGTAACTTTGTCAGTGCAGGGCGAGGCAGGCGAGAACCTGGCCTTCGCACGGGAGATCCAGTGGAGTCCGGTTCGAGGCGAACTGTTGCACGTGGACTTCTTGGCCGCGTCGGTAACCGTGAAGGTAACTGCCCAGGTGCCCATTACCCTGGTGGGAGAATCACCGGGCGCCAGGATCACCGGAGGGGGAACGGCCCAGACTCTTTATCACTTGGACGTGGAGGCGCTTCCTCTGGAGATTCCCAATGAGTTCGTAGTTGATATTTCGCAGATGGTAGACACCAACTCGGTAATCCGTGCCGGTGAACTCATACTGGAATCTAACGTTACTATGCTTACCGACCCGGAAGCGGTTGTGGTCAGGGTGGACGCTGGTCGTCTGGCCCCCACGGTCACTGACGAGGGCGCAGCAGGGGACGCCGAAGGTTCGGACGCTGCCTCAAATTCAGGGGAGGCCGATGGCGGCAGATAACCGGCTAATTGCCGACTGCTCCACGTTAGCGAGCGGGCGTCCTCTCCACTAGTCCAGAAACGATCAATCCTATGCCCGGAATTTGCGGGAGGCAGCGAAATGTATCTGGTTTATCTGGGAGAATCGGGGAACACCGGAGACAGCCTTAATGACACCAATCAGCAGCACCAGGTTTACTCAGGCCTGATTGTTCACGAAAACCAGTACGTCGCAATTAACGGTGAGTTCAACGCCCTGTGCCGCAGACACTTCGGAAGTCCGTTTGGGCGAGGACGGAGTTCCTGAAAAATTGAAGCCTGCCGACGTTTACCAAGGGAAAGGCTTTTTCAGGTCGTGGGCGCCGGCCAAGCGGGCAGAGCTGGTCCAGGACTGCCTCAATGTCCTTATCAGGCGGGAAACGCCGGTTATCGTAACCTTTGTGGACAAGGGCCAACTGGTAGAGGCGCGCAACAACGGCAACCCGACGGTTGCCGGGTGGTCCAGTGCACCGGAAGCCATGATCAGCAAGTTCCTTTTCGCCCTCAATATGTACATGGACGAAAATGCCGTCGCCGATATTCACCCCGACCACATTATGGAGGACACCGGCCCAATTAAAGACTATGCGCTGGTAGTGGCGGAGTCAGGCAAATCGGTCAGGCCCGAATACATGGCCCGGTTCCTGCATTCCGAGGTCGAGATTCCCACTCCTATAGTTCTCGAAAACTTGTGCTTTACGGGAGCTGATGAGTCTGTCTGCACCCAGCTTTCCAACATTTGCGCCTATTTTGTCCGGCGCTGGCTCCAGAACCCCAATGGGGCCCACGGCTACTTCGAGGCCCTCAGGGACGGCCGGGTCATTCAGGTGATATATCCTGTCCAGTTCTGATATTTAGAGGCTTCGTAAGGCCAACAACTGTTTAATGGCAGGTAACGATACCTGCCATTATTTTTTAGGATCGATCCGCCCGCCCACACTCTACTGGTTTGCCAGTTAATCAAACCGGGCCAACCTCCTCAGCCAGGCACTAAGAAAGTCCACGCCTATAACCAGCAGCAAGTACCACATGATAATCAGCGCCACCTCGTCATAGTGGAAGAAACTGAAGTTAAGGCGAAACTCCCGACCCAATCCTCCAGCGTTCACAAACCCCACCACCACCGTCGTCCTTATTACCACTTCCCAGCGGTAAAGCAGGTAGGTAATAAAGTGCGGCAGCGCCTGCGGAAGTATGGCGTACAGCAGAATCTGGAACAATCCCGCGCCCGAGGAGCGCAGAGCACGCGCCGGCGCCGGATCCAGGTTTTCCACCACTTCAGCGGTCAACCGCCCAACGATGCCCAGATTGTGGATTCCCAGGGCAAGCGCCCCGGGCAAAATGCCGGGCGAAAGAAAGAAAATTATCAGCATCGCCCACACCAGTTCCGGAACGGCGCGGGTAAAGGCGTAGAAGATTCGCAGCAAATAGAAGAGGATGGTCCCGACAATGGAAGGTGTAGCACCCAGGCCGCCGTCGCTGACGTTGCGGGCAGCCATCATGAAGGTGATAAAGGCGCCCAGCCCGGCGATGACCATAGCCAATACGCTCATCGCCAGGTGTTATAGGCCAGCTTGCCGGTAGACCACCACTTGTCGAACTTCAGGAAGGCCGGTGTATCCTCGGACCCGAATCCCGCCAACTGAAGGATGAACTCCCCGGCGTTTTCCCAGGTCCGGCCCTCAAAAAGGTTGGTGAAACCGCTGTCTCCCCCAAACAGAATATAGGTCCAGGCAGCGACCACCAGTGCCCCTACAATGTAGAAGGAAAGACGGGCAAAGGTGAAGGGACGCCTTCGAAGTCCTGGGCGTGGTAGGGATTCCTTGGACTCAATCATGACGTCAGCAGGCTGCGGCGGACCCGCTGACTCCAGAAATCAACCAGGGCAACGATCGCCAGCAATACCAACAGCAAGGTCCAGACCTGATTGAACAGGAGATCTCCCAGGGAAATTTGAAGCTCATAACCAATTCCCTGGATTCCCACGAAGCTGAGTATTGCCGCCGCTCGGATAGCACATTCAAACCGATAGAATGTGTAGCTGACCAGGTCCGGGAGGCACATGGGTAGCTGACCATAAACCAGGGTTTGCAGGGCAGATGCACCGGTAGCACGAAGCGCGGTCAGCGGTTCCTCGGGGACGTCCCGCAGAAATTCAGCGTAAATGCGGCCCAGGATTCCCGCGTAGGGTAATCCCAGGGCCATAATCCCGGCAACCGGTGAGAGACCGATAGCCGCCACAAAAAGCACCGCCCAAACCAATTCGTGAATGGACCTTACAGTTCCCAGAATAAACCGAGACCCCAAAACAAGGGGCATTCGCCAGCGTGAGGATGGTGGCAACAGGGCCCCGGAAGCATTACTCCCAAGGGGAAACCTATAGCGACGGCAACCGTCATCCCAGCCAGGGCAAACGCCAGGGTCTGCCATGCGGCCCTGAAGGAAATGTAAAGGAACCCAGGGGAAAGCTCCGGAGTAAAAACTGCGGAGAAAAAACTGAAAGCCGAATTTCCGCCGCCGGTGTGGACCAGAGGGCCGTTCCAGTCAACGGTTGACAAGCTCCAGGCCACCGCTCCCACCAACAAGAGGGAGAGCATATGAGGGCTCTCCAGGGCCTGGCGTATCAATCTCATAGGGCAGTGCCCGAGTTAATGCCAGTGGTGGCTGGACTCTTCGTGGGAAAGGTCATAGAGATCGGTAAGAGTTGCCTGGGTCAACTCAGCTGCCGGCATGTCAAAGTGAAGGTGCCCATCCCTTAGCCCGATCACACGGGTAAAGTAACTGCGAACCAGTTCCGTGGTGTGGATGCTGGCCACCAGGCCCGACCAGAGTCTAGGGTCAGACCCACCAGGAGTTGCATGATTTCTTCCGCCCGGGCCGGGTCCAGGGAAGCGACCGGTTCGTCAGCCAGCACCAACCTGGGCGACTGAACGATGGCCCGCGCTATTGCCACCCGTTGTTGCTCACCCCCGGAGAGGTGCGAGGTCCTCTCCGTGGCCTTTTCGGAGATTCCCATTTGCTCCAGGGCTCCTGCCGCCATTTGATAGTCCTGGGGCCAGGCCAGGGACACCAACGAGCGTAACATGCCCCATCTGCCAAACCGGCCGGCGAGGACATTGTGGACTACAGGCAGTTGCGGCACCAGATCAAACTGCTGGTGAATTATGCCCACCAGGGAGGACAGTTCTCGACGAGGCAGAGACTGGGAGAGAGGGCGCCCAGCCACGGAGAGAGAACCGGAATCAGGCTGCACCGTGCCTGACAAGAGGTTGAGCAACGTCGTCTTGCCGCTGCCACTGGGGCCGACCAGCGCCACCCGCTCACCGGCATCGATGCTGAAACCCACGCTTTCCAGTGCCCTGACCCGCGGGTAGGTCTTTGTGACTCCGTCAACCACTACCAACGGGGCAGCTAAGGTCTGCTCCGCCAACACTGGTTCATGTCCGTTACGAGACAGCGCTTTCAATCCTGTTCCTGAGACCCTATCTGATCATGTCCAGGCCCCTGGCCACATCTTCAATGGTTCGGTAGTTTGCGTTGTTGGTTTCGATAAACCTGTCCGTGCTGAAAAGTTCCAGTATCTCGACGTGTTCCTGTGGATTCAGCTTCAAGAGAGCGGTCTGCAACTTGGCTGTAAAGCCGCTCCCGTAAACCTGGTCCAGATCGCCTTGGGCCGTCCAATTGTAGTCGAAATAGGCCGGTGTGATGTGGAATTCCACTGCAGCGTCAGGGTCGACCTTGCCATCACTAAGCGCCCGATCCCAGACAGACTCGCTCAAAGCGCCAATATCGTAAGAGCCGCTCTGGACGAGTTGCCACGTTTTGTCGTGGGAGCCGGAAAAACTTGGCGGTGCCCGGAAGTCTTCATCCGGATTAATTCCTGCTTCTGCAAGGTAATAGCGGGGCATCAGGTGGCCGGATGTTGAACTCTCGCTCCCGAAGGTTATCGTCAATTCCGTGGCTTGAGGCTTTATGTCCTCCAAGGACGTCAATCCCAACTCGGGACGGGCAACAAACTTGGTATGAAATTCGGCGTCCCCCTCCCGCTGGGCTATGGCTACCGCACCTGGATTCTGAATCCGGGCCTGCACTCCGGTCAGGGCGCCGAAAAATGCCAACTGCAACTCGCCCTGGCGAAAGGCAGTAACTACGGCGGCGTAGTCTGCGCTCGGCACGTACTCTACTTCAACACCCAGTTCTTTCCCAAGATAATCGGCAAAACTCTGATACCGACGTGCCAACCTAGCGGTGTCCTGGTCTGGTATACCGCCTACCTTTAGCACCGGTTCAGGTTCCGAACTGCAGGCCATAGTGGCCACCAAAGTCAGCAAACAAAGAAGCAATAGCAAAACTTTGGTATAGCTGCCTAGGTAGTGGAAGCTCATGGATCCCTTAACACCCCTGATATGTTTGAATTGGACCAACCGAGTCCCAAGCAGGGACTATGTGTAACGCCAAGGAACGGAAAACCGAACGGTCAGCGTCGCTCGGCGAAGGGAACCATGAGAAGAGAGAGTCGCCCTGCCGTACATCCCCAGGCCAACCAGTGCCCAGGACTACGGCATTAAAGTAGAGAACTACTCGGCAATAGGGTGGTTCCTCTTGTCCCAGAAAATTGCACCTGAAAAATCCTAAATGCGAGTTTAAACTCCAGTATATAGGCTGTCAATACGGTTCAGGAAATATGGGAAAAAATTCTGAACATGCACTTTCATAAGCGTCCAAAACGTGACGACGTTTCCTGCGGTGTCCCGCAACGTCCATGAATTGCTGCCTATTTTGCCTTTCCCCACAAGCTGCCTCACGATATAATCTCTTGGTTATGTCCACCCATACTATTGATCTCCTTACCGGCTTGAACAACGCCCAATCCGAAGCGGTGTTGTGCACTGAGGGTCCGCTGCTCATAGTGGCCGGCCCGGGAAGCGGCAAGACACGCGTGGTTACCCACCGCATCGCCCACCTGGCGCGAGAATGCCACGTCAGCCCCTACCGGATAGCCGCCGTCACCTTCACCAACAAGGCAGCGCGGGAAATGCGGGACCGCATTGCGACCTTGCAGGTGCCCGATTCCGACTCCGTCTTTGCCGGCACCTTCCATGCCTTCTGCGCCCGCATGTTGCGCCGCTTCGGTGAAGGAGTGGGCCTGGACTCGAACTACACCATTTACGACTCCGACGACCAGTTCGGCTTGATAAAACAGGCAATGCAAATGGCCGACGTCGATGAAAAGCTTAACCACCCCCGGGCCATGCAAGGCATCATATCCGGAGCCAAGAGCGTCCTGATGGACTCGGTAGGCCTGGCCAAGCAGGCTCAGTTTGAGGACGAGCTCTCCAAAGAGATGGCCGCCCGGGTCTACCACTATTACGAGGAATTGCTGGGTCGCAGCAACGCGGTCGATTTTGACGATCTGCTGATGCGGGCTGTGCAACTGCTGCAAGAGAACGCCGACGTCAAGGAAGAATACCAGCGGCGTTACCACTACCTGATGGTGGACGAGTTCCAGGACACCAACATCGCCCAATACCGACTGGCCCGACTCCTAACCGGCCCCGACCAGAACATTTGCGTGGTCGGCGATCCGGACCAGTCCATCTATTCCTGGCGAAACGCCGACATCAGAAACATACTAAGCTTCCAGAATGACTATCCCGACGCCAGGGTCATCACCCTGGAACAGAACTACCGCTCAACCCGGAACATCCTGGACACGGCCAGCTCCCTGATAGCCAACAACGGTATGCGGGTGCCCAAGGAGTTAACTACCGAAAACGCGGCCGGAGCTGACGTGGTAATCCACGAGGCTTACACCCAGGAGGAAGAGGCAGACTTTGTGGGCAAGGAGATATTGGAACTTGCCCGCAGAGATCGGATTAAGCCAGGCAGTTGTGCCGTAATGTACCGCATCAACTCCCAGTCGCGGTCCGTGGAAGAAGCTTGCCTCAGGCTGGGCATCAAGTACCGAATAATTGGTGGCGTCCAGTTCTACCGCCGCAGAGAAATCCGGGACCTGATGGCCTATCTCTGTGTACTTCACAATCCCCAGGATGACGTAAACCTGGCGAGGGCGATCAACACCCCAGCGCGGGGCATTGGGGACAAAACCATCCAGGACCTGAGAAGCTGGTCGCTCAGTAAACGCTTGTCCGTGTTCGAGGCCATTACCGCCGTTTCTCAGGCCAAGAGCGCCGGCCTCCCCTGTCCTGCTCCCCTGGCTGCCCGAGCCTACACCGCAGTGGCCCGATTCGGAGACCTGTTGGGCAGATTCAGCGATTTGAAGGCCAAGCTGCCCATGTCCGACCTGATTGATCTCCTGGTCAAGGAAGCGGGTCTGGAAGCTCACATCAGAAAGACCGACACCAATCCCGAAGAACGAATGGAAAACATCCAGGAGTTCATTTCGCTTGCGGCGGAGTACGAGTCGGATTCACCCGAAGACGACCTGTCGGCATTTCTGGAGCGCGCGTCTCTCGTAGCAGATGTGGACAACTACGAAGAGTCGGAAGATACCCTGACCCTGATCACTTTGCACCAGGCCAAGGGACTGGAGTTTCCCGTGGTATTCATTGTGGGCCTGGAAGAGGGCCTGCTGCCCCACAGCCGTTCCATGGACAGCAACGCAGAGTTGGAAGAGGAACGGCGCCTGTGCTACGTGGGAATTACCCGGGCCATGGAGCGGTTATACCTGGTCCGTGCTTTCCAGAGGCGAATGTGGGGAAATACATCCGCTACTCTTCCGTCCCGGTTCCTGGAGGAGATTCCCGAGAATCTGATCAGGTACGCCCGTTCACCGGGAGCAGTTACCGTCCCCAGCACGTCCTCCCGTACTGGCTACGACCGGAGCCTCACCACCTGGGAGAGCACGGCTGTCGACCAGGAACCCAAGGACCCAGTTTACGTACCGGAAGTAGGCCACACGGTGAAACACGACAAGTTTGGCAGTGGCCTGGTCGTATCGTGCGAGGAATGGGGCAGCGACTACCAGGTAGAGGTTTGCTTTGATGGCGGTGAACTCCGACGCCTGCTGTTGAGTTACGCCCGCCTGGAAAAGGTGGAATTTTACTAATCCCAAGAGCCCGAGCAGACGGTCGCGAAAGAGTCTTGGCAGCCCTTCTGACCGCGAATAACCAGCGCCCTGGGCAAGGCCTTGCTGCAGTCAACTCTATTCTTGCCTAACCGCCCCCGCCAGCCAGTCCAGCAAATACCCGTCGCCACTCTTCTTCGTCACCCTGCCCCATCTCATCGCGATAGACTATTGTTCCTGTGGAATCAAAGGCGATCTTGGTAGACTGGAGGGTGATGCCGAGGTCAATCAATATTTGGGGAGAGGCAGCCGCCACAGGCCAGGGGTAGTTGTTTTTCTCGCGTGCTTCTTCCAAGGTAACGATGTTCTCAATTATGCCGTAGTGGGCGCCAACGGCAAAAAAGGCCACGTCCTCAGCATACTCGGGATATATGTCCCTCAACCGCCGCAACTCGACGGTGCAGACCGGTCAGGTAGTCGCCCAGAAAAACAGGAAGGTCGGTTTCCCTTCCGCCATCAGTTCGTTTGAAGTTACGGTCCGCCCCTGGAATAGTTCGAGGGTGAAACTGGGGATTCGACGGCCTACTTGGGCGCCGCCACTGGAGGATAAGGGGAAACTCTCAACGATGTGCAGGTGGTCGTCAAGTTCAGCAGTCTGGTCGCTAGGCCAGAAGGGGAGGGAAACGTCGCCAAACGAGAAAAGGACAAATATCGCCAACGCCAGGACGGGAAATGAATAGGCCAACACCAACAGGGCCCTACCCCGCCAACTCTTGCCACTCATTACTTGACCTCCCCAACCGCGCAGGGCTTAGCTGCCGGGGCTATCTGGCTGGGGACATCAAGCCAGAAAACTACCCAGGGCAGTCGTGGCTAACTGAACTGGGTTGATATGAGGTAGTGTGGGGGACAACCCTTCCGTCTTCCGCCACTAGTCTATTGTGACTGGGACAACTCCGTAAACACGCGGTGCCATTCTTCATCGCTTCCCAAGCCCATGCCTTCCCTATAGACGATGGTTCCCTGGGAATCGAAGGCTATCTTTGTTGACTGGATCGTTACGCCCAACTCGGCCATTACCTGAGAGGGTGCGGTAGCCACCGGCCAGGGGTGGTCTCTTTCCGACCGATATGTTTCCAGGGTGTTGATATCTTCCACAATCCCGGGGTGGACCCCTATAGCAAAGAGGTCAACATTATCGGCATACTGGGGATAAATGTCCTTCATCCGCCGTAACTCAGCGGTGCAGACCGGTCAAATTGTGGCCCAGAAAAACAGATAGGTAGGTCTGCCTTCTTCTACCAGGCCAGCCGAAGTCACAGCGCTCCCGTCGGCCAACGTCAGGGTAAAGTCAGGGATCTGGGAACCCACCTGGTTTCCAATGTCCAATTCGGCCGTGGGGAAGTCTTCGCTGGTCAATACATACTCCGATTCATCACCGGATTGCTGCTTACCAAACGGAGACCAGGAAGTGCCACTGGTCGACAGATAAACTGAAAAGGCCATTCCTCCGATTGGCAGCATCACTGCCAAGACCAGCAACACCTTGCCCACCCAGCCTTTCTTGTTCATGCCGCTCCCGTCTTAAAAGTATTGCCTTGCCATACGATTTTCCAGTAATTTGAGCTGGAAAGCAACCCGGGGCAGCAGTTCTTGCTGCCCCGGGTTTCACATCGTCAAAGCGCAAGCGGTGCATGCTCCCCAGCCGCCACTTGGGAACGGTTACTGAGCTGCCAAATCCATAAACACCCCGCGCCATTCTTCGTCGTCGCCTGCGCCCATACCATCCCGATAGGTGATAATGCCCTGGGAGTCGAAGGCTATTTTGGTGGACTGAGTAGCTATCCCCAGCTCGGCCATAGCTTCGCTCGGAGTAGTTGCTACCGGCCAGGGATGGCCGCGCTCCTCTCGATAGCTTTCCAGGCTTTCGAGACTCTCGCTGGACCCGAACAAAGTGCCTATGGCATAAAAGTTGACCTGCTCGGCGTACTCGGGGTAAACGTCCTTCATCCGCTGCAACTCAGCGGAGCATACCCCTCAAGTCGTGGCGAAAAAGAAGAGGAAGGCGGGCTGCCCCCGCTCCACCAGACTCGTCGCACTTACCGTAGTCCCGTCTGCCAACGCCAAAGTAAAGTCGGGGACCCGGTTCCCCACCTCTTGGCCTGTCTCAACAACAGCCTGCTCGACCACCGGGTCAGCAGCCGCTGAGGGTTCGACCGGCGCTTCTACACCTTGAGGTTCGCTTGTAGCCCCGCACGCCAGCAACAGCAACAGCAACGACACTGAAACTGCCGTTAGAAAAACCCTGGCCAGTCTTGTTTTATGCGTCCTGAAAGGGGAATCCATTACAACCTCCTTCTTGGTCACTCACTTACTGGGCCAACAACTCTGTGAAGACCTGTCGCCAAACATCCTCGCCGCCACCGCCAAAGCCATCCCGGTAAGTTATGACTCCCCTGGAGTCAAAGGCGATCTTAGTGGACTGGACGGACACACTCAGGTCGGCCAGGGCCTGCCCCTCGTTGACCGCGTTTGCTATCAGCCAAGGATATCCGTTCTTCTCACGGTGGCTCTCCAGACGGTCCAGACTGTCAAATGTACTGGAAACTGCAACTGAGTAAAAGTTAACCTGGTCCGCGTAGTCCGGGTAAATTACCTTCAACTGCCGTAACTCGGCAGCACACTGTGATCAAGTGGTTGAAGTAAAGAACAGGAAGGTCGGCTTCCCTTCCTCCGCCAGGCTGGCTGTCGATACCGTGTTGCCGCCATAGAGTTCCAAGGTAATTTCAGGAATCAGGTTCCCCACCTTGTTACCTACCGGCGGAAGAGGTTCCTGGACCACCGGTGCCGGGGCTTCCGTTGCCGCGGGAACCACAACTACAGTCGGTGCTGGGGCTGCCGTCGGCTCCGGGGCCACTTCAACTGCCGGCGCTGGCTCCTGTTGCAGAACCGGGGCCGCTGTCGGTTCAGCGGCGGGAGCGGGCTGGCTCTCAACCGCCATTGCCATTGCAGTTGGCTCGGGCTGCGGCTCTGGCTGTGGTTTTGCCGCTTCGGCCTCCATCACTTCCGCAGCCACGGGCTGTTCGGTGGTAGCCTCCTTGGCCGCCATTGGCTCTGATGGTTGCTCGGAGACCGTTTCTGAGGTTGCCGGCGTTTCCGACTTGACTACCGTCTGGTCAGGTTCAGCCGCAGGGGCCACTTCAGCCGGGGCCCCCTGCTGAGAAGCAGGCTCCGCCGGTTGAGTCTGCCTCGCCTCGCCGACCGGAGCCACCGGTTCCTGTGGCTGATCGGCCGAACCGCAGGCTAACGTCAACACCAGCAGCAGCGCCGCAAACCCCAGGACAGCGGGCCGCAAGAAACGTCGCACCCCCCCGGCGCCAATAGGGAACGAAAGAATCATTTAATTGCTCCTCAGGCTTTCTTGTAGGCCAATGCTCAACAGAATCGGTCTCAATTCTAACATACGTAGCTGACGGCTTAGCGGATTTGGACGCTGGGCACCAATTTACTCAGCACATCAACAACGCGCGACGATACAAATTCTTGGGAAACACCCCACAGTCTGCTGAAAGCAAATGAGCAACTTACGGCATCGCGCTACCGGCCCGCCCGGCCTGAAGCCAGGCGCGACCGTCAGTTAACATGAAGCGATCGGCTTCCACCGGCCCCCAACTGCCTTCGGAGTAGTAATAGGGCCTCGGAGCAGTGGGAAGGCTGAAGCCTTCAATTATGGGATCAACAATGCTCCAGGCCTGCTCTATTTCATCTGACCTGGTAAAGAGTGAAGCGTCACCGTTTAGCGCGTCCAGCAGCAGCCGTTCGTAAGCATCCGGGATGGCCTGGCCGCTGAATGCCTCATGGTAATGAAATTCCAGTTCAGCCGTTCTCATCTGCAATTCAGCCTCGGGAGTCTTGGTCTGAAATTCCAGGTGGAAGCCTTCGTCTGGCTGAACAAATATCGCCAGGGTATTGGCGGGAATATCTTCATCATCAGCCAGGGGGAACAACATATGGGGCGGACTGCGGAATTGAATGATGATCTCCGTGGACTTGTTGCGCAACGCCTTGCCGGAACGCAGGTAGAAAGGCACCCCCTGCCAGCGCCAATTGTCCACATGCAAACGGACGGCCGCGTACGTGGCAGTGTCCGATTCCGGCGAAACTCCAGACTCATCCCGGTAGGTCCTATATTGACCCGGAATGGCGTGCCGGCCAACGTCATCCGGCCGGATACGCCGTATGGCATTAAGAACCTTCACCTTCTCGTTGCGCAATGCCTCGGCCTCGAATGCATGGGGAGGCTCCATGGCCACCAGGGTTAGCAACTGCAAGAGGTGGTTCTGGAACATATCCCGCAGCACGCCGGTCTGGTCGTAATAATCGCCCCGTTCGTCGATTTTCAGGGTCTCCGACACTGTAATCTGGACGTGGTCTATATAATTCCGGTTCCAAAGGGGCTCGAATATCGCGTTGGCGAAGCGAAACACCAGCAGGTTCTGGACCGTCTCCTTCCCAAGATAGTGGTCGATGCGGAAGACCTGGTCTTCCCTGAAGACCGAGTGGGCAACGTCATTTAGTTCTCGGGCCGACGTCAGGTCTGTGCCAAAGGGCTTCTCCACCACCAATCGTCTCCAGCCGTCAAAATCCTCCGACATCCGGGATTCTCCCAGTCCGGACATAGCCGATCGGTAAAGAGAGGGAGCCAGGGAAAGGTAATAGAGGCGATTGTGGGAACCGCCGTTCCCTTCGATTGAGGCCAGCTTGTCTTTAACCGCCTCGAGGTCCTGGAGGCTGGTAACGTCACCATGCAAATAGTGGATGCGGGAGGACAGAGCGGCCCACTGTTCGGGGGAAGGCTTGGTCATCCCTTCGCTGCCCAGAAACTCGGCCAGGATGGCCCTGAACTGCTCGTCGTCCATGTCGCTGCGGGCCACGCCCAGGATTTGCAGATCCAGCGGCAGCCGGCCCTTGCTGTGGAGGCTGGCGAGAGCCGGAACCAGCTTGCGCCTGGTAAGGTCGCCACTGGCTCCGAAAATGACCAACGTAGTGGAACCGTTGGAATCAGGGGCTGCTTCAATCATCGTCATGGCCTGACCTCCTGACCGGGTGGCCGCCAAACTGGTTGCGCAGCGCTGCCAGGAGTTTCGCCCCGAAGGGCTGGGCCTGGCGGGACCGGAATCGCTGCAGCAGCGACAGTGTGATTACCGGAACAGGGACCGCCAGATCTATTGATTCCTGGACTGTCCATCGTCCTTCACCGGAATCCTCCACGTAGGCTTCCAGGTCCGACAGACTGGGGTCGTCCTCCAGTGCCGAAACAACCAAGTCAAGAAGCCAGGACCGTACCACGCTGCCGTATCGCCAAGTGTTGGCGATTTTGGCCAGGTCCAGGTTGAATTCCTCCTTGGCCGCCATCAGTTCGAACCCTTCTGCATAGGCTTCCATCAGGGCATACTCGACGCCGTTGTGGACCATCTTGACGAAGTGTCCTGCGCCCACTGGTCCCACGTGGTTATAGCCCCGATCCTGACCCGGCGCCAGGGCCTGAAAGATCGGTTCCAGCCGTTGGAAAACCTCCTCTTTGCCCCCGACCATCAACGTATAGCCCTCGGATAGCCCCCAGATGCCGCCACTGGTGCCCACATCCATGAGGTCTATACCGTTGTCGGACAATTTCTCCGCTCGGCCCTGGGTGTCCTTGTAGTTGGCGTTGCCGCCGTCCAGGACTACATCTCCGGAGCTAAGCAATGGCACGAGAAGCTGCATGGTATCTTCGGTGGGTTGGCCCTGGGGCAACATCAACCAAACCGCTCGTGGCGGAGACAAGAGGGACACAAGGTCTTCCAACGAAGCCGCACCAATAGCACCCAGTGAACAGGTGGAGGTTACGGCCTCCTGGTTGGTGTCGTAAGCAACCACCCGGTGCCCCGCGACCAGTAGTCGTTGAACCATGTTGCCGCCCATGCGGCCGAGGCCGATCATTCCCAGTTCCACGGATCAACCTCCAGGCTATCGATTCGGGCTAAAGCAGGGACTCCAATCGTTGTATTCCCGAGGCCGGCTGATCTCCCAGGTGCACCCTGGCCGTACGCCGACCCAAAGCCTGGAGGGCCTGAAGGTCTCCCGTAGACTGGGCATCGGCCAGCGTCCCGAAGGTGTAGGAGCGACCGGGGATGGCGAGGTCTGCAGGATGGTCGCCAGTAAGTTGCAGATAGACTCCGGAGCCAGGTCCGCCCTTGTGGAGCTGGCCGGTTGAGTGGAGGTATCGGGGCCCAAAACCGGCAGTAGTGGGGACCCCGCACTTTTCCGTGAGCTTCTTCCGGAAACTTTCCAGCGCCAGGGTTACTTCCGGTGTGTTCGGAAGGTACGCCAGTATCGCTATGTAATCGCCTGGCGTAACCAGGGACACAAGCTGTCCCGCCGAGTCCGCCGCACCAACCTGCGGCAGCGCGCCAGTAGCCTCAAACTGTCCCAGTACCAGGTCTGTCTTGTCTTTCGCCCCTTGCACATTGGGTTGATCGAAGGGGTGCACTCCCAGTATGTGTCCGGCGACAGCAGTGGCAAACTCCCACCGATAGAACTCCGCACACAGGTCAAACCGGTCCGTCAGTTCCAGCTGAACGGTAGGGTGGTCGAATGCCAGTTCTGCAACCAGCGCGTCCGTCCTGGCGTTGTCATCGTCATTCAGCCGCAGATAGACTATCAGCCGATCTTCACTATAGTGTTCCCGTGAAAGAGCAGGCTCGCCGGCCACCGGAATAATGCCTTTGCCGGACTTGCCCAAGCTCTCTGCCAACATCTGCTCCACCCAAAGACCAAAGCCGGCCAGCGCGGGCGAAGTAATAAGGGTGAGTTTGTCCCTGCCTTCAAGCGCCATTGTGGCCATGACTGCACCCAATCTGGCCCCGGCGTTCTCCGCGGCATTGACTACGGTGCAGGCATTTTGCATGGCCTCAGCTCGGCCCAGCAGGACACTCAGGTCCAGGCCAATCAGCGCGGCCGGCACCATTCCAAAATAGGACAATACCGAGTACCGGCCTCCGACTTCCGGCGAATTGAGAAAGGCTCTCCGAAAACCCTTGTTCCCTGCCAGGGATTCCAAGCCCGTCCCTGTATCCGTTATTGCGACAAAATTGCCGCCGGCGGCCTCTTCGCCGACAACCTTTGATACCCGTTCCCAAAAATAGGAGTAAAGGGTGTTCGATTCAATGGTGCTGCCCGACTTGGAAGAAACCAGGAACAGGGTCTTGGCCGGGTCAATAACCTCATCTACGGCCTCTATCCAGGCAGGCAGCGTAGAATCCAGGACCGACAACTCAGGGTATCCGGAGGCGTTGCCACATGTCCTCCGAAGGACTTCGGGCCCCAGGCAGCTGCCGCCCATCCCCAGCAGCACCACCCTGTTGAACCCCGCACTCCTGACCTCCGAAGCAAAGGAAGAAAGAAGCTCCAACTCTCCCCGCATGTTCGCCGGAAGAGTAAGCCAGCCCAGGCGGTCGACAATCTCCGCGGGGTTTTCATCCCATACCAGATGATCACCCTGCCAGATTCGGGAGATAATGTTTTCCGAGTTCAGCCTTGAGATAGCATCTTCGACAGCTTGAAAATGCAGTCCCAGAGTTTCAACCGTTCGGGCAACGTTATCCAAAGGATCCTCCGGCAGGAAGCAATGGCTCAGATCCGCCCCTGAAGTCGGTGCGGCAGCTAAAAGATAGCATACAGATTTGGGCAAGTCCAAAACAATAGAATACGCGACAAGGCATCCTCAATTTCGCCACTCGTCAAGGAACTCATGCCCTGCCGAATCTCCGGTGTGGTCTTGCCCCTTACTGCAACTTCCACCAGGAGTCTTCCAGGACCTCACCTTGTCCAATATTCCTGCTGCATTACCCCGCCCCGTCGCCTGTTGCGATGGCCCCCTTAAGAGAGAGTTAAACATATACATAGCCATGCGTTGACCACAGCCCGTGCTATAATCCCAACGCGTCAGAAAACAAGGTTTGCGTTCTCGCAAACCATAACCAGGAGGTCCTGATTTGACCAGTTCGGGCCATGTTCCTAACCCTCCAACAGAACACCGGGCCAGAATCGGGGAACTCGACGTTCACTACCTGGAGTGGCTGCCCACTGGAGACCCCCAACCCACGCCTGTTGTAGCCCTGCACGGGTTGGCATCATCCGCCCATTGGTACGAGCGATTGGCCTCTCGCCTGAGCAGGCATTACCGTGTGGTGGCGCCTGACCAGCGTGGCCACGGCCAGACGACACAAGCCCCCAGCGGCTACGACTGGCAATCCCTGGCTTCCGACGTTGGGCGGTTTATGGACTACCTGGGACTGGACCGGGCCGCAGTATTAGGGCATTCCTGGGGAGGAAATGTAGCAATCAACGTTGCTGCGAAGCTACCCGAGCAGGTTAGCAAATTGGTAATGATTGACGGAGGCTTTCTGGACGGGCACCTGCTACCGGATGCCTCATGGGAATTGTTCAGCGCCCGATTTGCACCTCGCAACGTTTCAGGGACTCGCCAGGAATTTCTGGCCCGGCTCAAGGAGCAAATGAGTGACTGCTGGGCAGAGGACCTGGAGCGAATCGTTCAAACCATGGTTTACGACGACGCAGAGGGGTATATGCAGGACATACTGCGACCGTCCAACCACGCCCAGGTGCTGGAGGCAATGTGGGGTGAACCACCGTCAGTTACCTTGCCCGAGATCAAGTGTCCTGCATTGATAGTGCCCGCCGGCCCTCGGCCGGACCGGGCCGGTAGCGAATTCAACCGTACCAAGCAAGTGATGGTTGAAGCGGCGGCCCAGGCTGTGCCCAACAACCGGGTACACTGGATTCCTGAAACCATCCACGACATCGGATACCACAAGCCCGACGAACTGGCGGCGGCAATCCTGGATTTCCTCGCGAAGGATTAGGCCCCCACAAAGTGTTGGTTTCCCTTGTCACTTAGTTACAAAGAGTCAGGGGCGGGTTTGATACCCGCCCCTGTTGCTTTGCCTAGGCTTATTGAGTAAGCCGACGAATCTTAGTCGTTATCCGCGGGCGCCGGTATCAGCGCCCCTCCCTCGGGTTCAACGCCGTTGCCGTGGGCCAAACCGTAGTTGATGGCATACAGGCGGCCGTAAACGCCATTGCGGCGCAGCAGTTCCTCGTGCCGCCCCACCTCAACTATGCGTCCCTTATCCAGTACGACTATCTTGTCGGCGTTGCGTATGGTTGAAAGACGGTGGGCAATGACGATAGAAGTGCGGCCTGCAAGGACGTGACTGAGGGCTTCCTGAATCAGAATCTCGGTATGAGTATCGATGTTGGCGGTGGCTTCGTCCAGCACAATGATGCGAGGGTCGCCGACGATAGCGCGGGCAAAGCTGACTAACTGCCGCTGACCCACGCTCAGGTTAACGCCTCGTTCCGCCAGGATCGTGTCATATCCGTCTTCGAGAGCCATGATAAAGTCATGAGCTCCCACGGTCTTGGCCGCGGCAATCACGTCATCATCGGTGGTGTTCTCGTAGCAATAACGGATGTTATCTTTTACGTTGCCGGAGAACAGGTAAGGCTCCTGAAGCACCATGCTCATCTGGCCCACAAAAGATTCACGCTTGACGTCCCGCAGGTCGTACCCGTCAATCGTTATCTTGCCGTTGGTAACATCGGCAAACCGGTGGACCAGCGTCACCATGGTGCTCTTGCCTGCGCCCGTGGAACCTACGAGGGCCACGTTTTCGCCGGGATTGATATGTAGGTTAATGTCCTGCAGAACTTCAACCCCCTCAACATAGTGGAAGTTGACATCCTCGAACCTGACTTCACCCCGTATCGGCGGCATATCTATTGCGTCGGGCTTGTCATTTACTTCCGGATCCAGGTCCAACAGCTCGAAGATACGAACACCGGCGGCCATGGACCTCTGGAAAACACCGTATTGCATGGTCAGATGGCGGACGGGCTCGAAGAAACGCTGAATCCACAGGGCGAAGGCAACCAGCACACCCCATTCCAGGCTGCCGCTATTGGCGAGCATGCCGCCCACCAGAACGATGCCAAACCCCATGCCAATACCAATCAGGAACTCGACCATGGGCTGGAGACCGCCGGAAAAGCGACTGGCCTGCAAGTTGGCGTCCAGGTGCTCCTGGTTCAACTCCTTGAAGTGATTCAGGTTTTCATCCTGGCGATTAAGGCTTTGTACCACCCGAACGCCGGTAATGTTCTGGTTGTACTCGCCGTTGACCATTGCTATGGCGCGGCGAATGCGCATAAATGAGCGGCGAGCAAACCGCTGCCAGTAGCCCAGGATAAAGAACAGGACCGGGACTATGCTCAGGCTGACGACAGCCAACTGCCAGTCCACTGCCAGCATATAGATGACGATAAAAGCCAGGGTCAGCACGTCGGCCAATGCCAGCACCAGCATTTCAAAGGTTTCCTGAAGTTGGAGCACGTCGCTCTGACTGCGGGACATAATCCGCCCTACCGCCGTGCGGTGATAGAAGGATGGTGACATGTCCTGCAGGTGGCTGAACATCTGGGTGCGCAGGGAATAAAGAATGCTCTGCCCCACCCGAGCCATAAAGACAAACTGAAGGTAGTTGGCCCCAAAGTGAATCAGGGTAATCACCAGGAAGCCCAGTCCAAATAGGTGAAGCGGGTGCCAACTCCAGAAGCCACCAGTAAGAGTGCCAAATTGGATACTGACAAGGTTCAGCAGGTTCCAACTCGAGGTCTCTCCCGAATTGATGCCGTGGTTGATGCCCCAGCATTATCAGCAGGGGAATGCTGGCGTTGGCAATAGTGTAGACCAGCACCGCCGCCAGGCTCTTGATCACGTCAGGTTTATAGGGACCCATATAGGTGATGAGACGCATTACAACCTTGTTGTTGTAAACCGAACCCATCGCGTTGTCATCGCTGAGATTGTCCATTGTAGGGGAATTCATGCCGCCCGAATGCAGGCCGCGCATACCCCCCATCATTCCACCGAATCCGCCTCCTACTCCGTGCATTAGTTGTCACCTCCGTCGCCGCCGGCTATGGAAGCGTCTAGTAATACTTCTTCCTGAGGCCGCAGTTGCAGTTCGTAAATATCTCGGTATATGCCCCTCTGGGCCATAAGTTCATGATGGTTGCCGCGCTCGGCTATTGTGCCATCCTTGAGCACCAGGATTTGGTCTGCTTCCCTTACGGTGCTGAGTCGGTGGGCAATGACGAATGTCGTCCGCCCCTTCATAACGTTCACCATAGCCTGGTGAATCTGCCTTTCAGTCTCCACATCCACACTGGAAGTGGAGTCGTCCAGGATCAGGATGGGCGGGTCGACCAGCACCGTGCGGGCAATGGACAAGCGCTGCCGCTGGCCGCCAGACAGCGTACTGCCGCGTTCGCCGACCCACGTATCGTAGCCATGAGCGAAGGCCATTATCTGGTCGTGGAGTTGAGCCACCTTGGCGGCATTGATGATGTCCTCTTCCGTGGCGCTGGAGATACCGTACGCAATATTGTCGCGGATAGTGGCGTCAAACAGGAAAATATCCTGCTGGACGATACCCACATTGCTCCGCAGGGACTCCAGGGTGACCTCCCTGATATCCTGCCCGTCAATAGTTACCCGTCCCCCGGTAACGTCGTAAAAGCGGGGAAGCAGATTAACGATAGTGCTCTTACCGCTGCCAGGCGCGCCCAGAATTGCCGTTATCTCGCCAGGCTCAGCCTCGATGTTTACGCTGGTGAGGGACGGTGACCTCGAATCGTAGGCAAATGACGCATCCTCGAACCTTACCAGTCCCTCTGACCGTCCCATGATCCGCGCGTTGGGCTTTTCCTCGACCGGAGAATCAGCATCCAATACGTCAAAGATTCGTCCGCCTGAAGAAATCGCACGGGAGAAACTGTTGATGATCTGGGCCGCCGAACGTATCGGAAACGTTAGTTGGTTCAGGTAAAGCACAAACATAGTCAGTTGACCGGCAGTGAGGTCGCCTCGAATAATCTCCCAGCCGCCATACCAAACTATGAGACCCAGGGCAAAGGTGAAGTAGAGGCTCATCCAAGCGCTGTTGGTACCCTGCAGCCGTTCCGACTGATAGTATTCCCCTCGCAGTTCCTGGGCCTTTTTGTCGTACTTGCGCCGCTCAAAATCCTCCGATCCAAAAGCCTTGACCACATGTATGCCCACCAGGTTTTCCTGCAACGCCGTGACCAGTTCGCCGTTGACTTCCTGCACGTGGAGCCACATCCGGCGCAACCGGCCCATAACCATCGTTGACCGCATCACCAGGAAAGGCACGAACACCAGGCTGATGAGAGCCAGCTCCCAGTTAAGCCATACCAGGATGCTGGTAACCGCAAGGGTGCGTACGACGACCTCAGATGAGCGGACCAACCCCATATTAACGAAACGACGCACGGCCTCCACGTCTGCCGTGGCCTTGGACATCAAGTTGCCGGTGTGTTCCTTGTCGTGATAGGCAAAACTGACGTGTTGGAGCTTGTCGTAGATTTGGTTACGGAAGTCATAGGTGACAAACTGGGAGAGGGAGTCGGTGGTATAGGTGCGGGCAAAATCGAAGAAACCCCGCATTATACTGGCGGCCAAGATCAGGCTCGCCAGAATCACTAGTACCTCGGTAGCGGGATAAGGGGGATTATTTGAGAGCCCTCTATAACAACGAGCCTGTCAATGGATTCGCCGAAGAGCCTGGGAATCAGCAGAGAGAAGCCTATGGCGATGAAGAAACACGCGTAGGCCAAAATCAACCGAGTACGATAGTGGTAGGCCATGCCCGTGATTCTGATCAATGTGTTCATACGACCGTTCCTGAACGTTCCTGAATGGCAATACGCGGCTTCAGGAAGGGTGTAGCCTTCGCTTGCCCGCGTTTCGAATTGAAGCGGTGTTCTTGCAGTTAAGTCGGCCGATAGCGTGAACCAAATTGAGGCCTGTCGAGGTAAACTGGCAAGAGAGCCATCGCTATTTCACGATTGACTCGGACATAATAAACATTACACAAGAATAATTCAAGCGGCTTTTAATTTGCTTTCACAATAGTTTAATACTCCCCACATTCAGTTCCCATACAAAATAACTGGAATTCAGAAACGCTGGCAGCCTATGGCGTGAAGGGCGGGGGACCAGAGAGGGGGGGTTCGAAGAAAGGACGAATTCCGCAAGAGGTCACAGCAGTCTGGATTGCTTCCGGCAGCGCCGAGCATTAACCGACGCTGCCGGGAAGAAGGGCATTTTCGTACCGTCTACATTCGTTCCGGGGCGTTCATCCCCATAATTTCCAGGGTTCTCCGGAACACAATCTGCGCCGATTCCACCAGCTTGAGGCGGGCCAGGGTTATGTCGTTGTCCTCGGCGTTGGCCGAAATGACCCGGCAGTTCTCGTAGAACCAGTGAAAGGCGGTCGCCAGTTCCATGGCGTAATGCGGCAGATGGTGGGGTTCCAGGCTGCGGGCAATTTGCTCCACCAGCTCCGGCAGCCGGATCATGGTTCGAATAAGAGTCAATTCATTGGGGTCGGTAAGTAGGGAAACGTCTCCCTGGCTCCAGTCAATATTGCGGCTGCGCGCCAGGTTGAGAATGCTGAAATTCCGGGCATGGGCGTACTGGATATAATAGACCGGGTTCTCCGAAGATTCCTTCTTTGCCAGTTCCAGGTCAAATTCCATCTGGGTTGATGGTGAGCGGGCCAGGAAAAAGTAGCGGCAAGCATCGGACCCCACCTCTTCGGCCAACTCGCGGAGGGTTACGAAGTCGCCGGTGCGCTTGGAGGCGCGGACTACTTCATTGCCTCGTTTCAAGGTCACCATTTGCGAAATCAGGACAGTAAGCCCATCCGGTTCGATGCCCAGGGCTTCCACGGCGGCCTTCATGCGGGGAACGTGCCCCTGGTGGTCGGCGCCCCAGATGTCAATGACCTGGTGGAATTCCCGCTTAACAAACTTGTTGTAATGGTAGGCAATGTCGGAGGCAAAGTAGGTGGGTTCCCCGGAAGACCTGACCACCACATTGTCCTTGTCATCTCCTAGCATGGTGGAATTGAACCAGAGGGCGTTGTCCCGCTCGGATAGATAATTCTTGTCACGCAACAAGTCCATGGCCTGTTCGTATTCCTTGTTGCCATATAAAGACCGCTCGCTGAACCAGTTGTCGAAGGTAACCCCTATCTCTTCCAGGTCAGCCCGTATCAGGGAGACCATCTTTTCGCGACCGATGTCACCGATCTCCTTAACGGCTTGCGCCTCATCCATTTCCAGGAAACGGCTTCCCTCAGACTCGGCAATTTCCCGTCCAAGATCGCCAATGTATTCGCCGGCGTAACCGTTGGCGGGGAAGTCGGCCTCCTGGCCCAGGGCCTCACGGTAACGGGCATAAACGGAACGGTAGAAGGCCTCCATCTGGGTGCCGGCGTCGTTCACGTAGTATTCCCGCGTTACGGAATAGCCGGCTGCATCCAGGGAATTGGCCAGCGCGCTGCCGAGCACTGCTCCCCTGGTATGCCCGACATGAACCGGTCCGGTGGGGTTTACGCTTACAAATTCCACCATTACCGGTCGCCCCTCGCCCGCCGACACATTTCCGTAATCACCGCCTGCCTGGCGCACTACCTCGACCTGGTTTTGGACCCACTTGTCGTTCAGGCGAAAGTTTATAAACCCTGGATGGACGGCCTCAACCCTCTCCACTTCATCAGCGGAGGGCACGAATTGCACCCAGGGTTTCCGCCAGCTTCAATGGATTGATACGGGTAGCGCGGGCCAGGCGCAGGGGAAGGCTGGTGGCAAAGTCGCCATGATCCGGATTCCCCGGCCGCTCGACAAGAATATCGGGCATCGATTCCAACTGGATCGCACCTTCCTGGCGCGCCCGCTGGACTGCCGCTGCCACCATTTCCTGTATCCTGTCTCGAACCAGCGTCGTCGCCATGATGACTGACCTTTTCGTTTATTGAATGTGAATGTGGGAGTTGCTTCGCAAAAGTGATTATTGCCTGCAATGAAACCGGGGCATTCCCCGCCATTCCATCGGAAGTCGTGAATGCCCGTCCTTTATACTAGCATACATAGCCCGGTCGTTAAATCTGACCGGCTGCAGTTTATGTTCACTTTGCAATTCAGGAGAGCCCCTGGTTAGTAGCTAACTTGGCCGTTTGCTAAAATACGGGACAAACAGGCGCCTGGTTGGCACGAGGAGGAGCAATGAAAGGTATGATTGCCCTGGTCGGTGGCGAAGAGTTTCGGCGCTACTGCGTTGACATGGACCGAGATATTCTTGCCGCCACTGGAAAGGACCCAGCCTCAGTCGTAGTAATTCCCACGGCCGCCGTCACTGGGCCCGTCAAGGCTGCCTACGACGGTGTGACCCACTTCAATGGCCTGGGCGGAAAGGCACAGCCTCTAATGGTGCTGGACAGTGAGCAGGCTAACGACCCTTCCATGGTTGAAAAGGTTGCCGATGCGGATGTCATCTACTTCACCGGCGGCAATCCCAGCCACCTGCTGGAAACCCTGCAAGGTTCCCAGTTGCTGACGGCAATTGAGGAGTCAGTCGCCGGCGGGGCGATCCTTGCCGGATCCAGCGCCGGAGCAATGGTAATGGGATCACAGATGCGCCGGCCGCGGGAAGCCGAGTGGGTTACCGGCCTGGGAATCGCTGAGGGTATTTGCGTCTTCCCTCACCACGAACGCAGCAACCCTGCCGAGGTAGCGGAACAACTGGAGGGACGCCTGACCGAGAACCTTAGCGTGTTTGGCATTGACGCACAAACGGGTTGCCTGGGCCGTCCGGGCGACTGGCGGGTAATTGGATCGGGGAAGGTAACGATTTACCGGCAGGACGGCTGGCAAATTTACCAGCCAGGAGATACCATCGAGGGAAAATAGGGAACCTCTGAACAAGCCCCTTCCCCCTCAATGGGAGAAGGCTAAAATGGGGGTAACGGCGCTCATATAATAGTTGGCGCCCTTTGACTCCCCTCCGGGACTTCGGCATTCGCTGCAATGCCGGCGACTAATTCAGAGTTTCCATTGAGCAAAGGGTCTGTCGTCTATCCCCTTCGCTCCCGCAACGCATCCCACACTTCCTGGGGTCGGGAGCCACTGGCTGCCAGCAAGACCAGGGTGTGGTAGAGCAGGTCTGCCACTTCTCCGACGAAACCTTCCTGGTCATTCTGGACGGCAGCCAACGCCGTCTCGCCAGCCTCCTCGATTACCTTCTGGGCTACCCGTGACACACCCTCCTGCAAGAGTTGCACTGTGTAGCTACCCTCGGGCTGATCCCGTTGCCGGTCCTGGATAACCGCGAACAGTTCGTCCAGGACCCCGGAGCCAGACTCGGTGACCTCGTAGTCTTCGGGCTGGTCTTCCATCTTGTTATGGAAGCAGGATACGTCACCCGTGTGGCAGGCTGGCCCGTCGGGCTCCACCTTAAGCAGGATAGTGTCGGCGTCGCAGTCCAGGTAGGCTTCACGCAAGTTCAGATAATTGCCAGAGACCTCGCCCTTGTGCCACAGGTCTTCCCGACTGCGGCTGTAAAACCACACCTGCTCCCCTTCCACGGTGCGCTTCAGGGAGCCGGGGTTCATGTAACCCAGCATCAGTACTTCGCCGGTATTGATGTCCTGGGCGATGGCCGGAAGCAGCCCTTTTTCGTTTAGCTTCACCTTCATAACTGTTTCCCTCTTGCACGGGCCAGGTTCCTGGGAACTGCCCTGAATAAACCGAATAGGGAGTAACCCCTCAGGTCGACCGACTAGTCATTAAAAAGCGTCTTCAAATCCAGGAGGCTGGATATCAGGTAGTCAGGGGCAAGCAACTCAGGGTCGGGCTCCATTCCCGTCCTGTTTATCCAGACGGTGCTCATTCCGACCTGCCTGGCGCCCTGAACGTCCTCGTACTGCCGGTCTCCCACGTAAGCAGCTTCCTGGGGACTGATGTTTAGCTGCCTGAGCAATGTAAGAAAAAGCTCCGGGTTGGGTTTATAGCAGCGTGCCCCCTCGGAAGACAGCGCTGCGTCAAAAGGAAAGTCCAACCGCCTTAACGGGGGGCCAAGAAAGCAGTCGTCGGCGTTGGAAAGGACCATGACCCGGTATTTCCGGGCCACCGCCTCCAGCGCCTCCTTGGCTTCGGGGTACGGGTCGCGCTGGCCCATGTTGTTGATCCAATAGTTGGCTGCAGCGGCGGCATCGCCATTGATATCAAGGGCACGGAAGGCTTCGACAAAGGCGTCCCGCCAGGCGGTGGTGTAGGACTGGAAAGGATAGCTGGAAATGCTGCGAGTCTCACGGAAATCACCGCAGGCGGCCAGCCATGCCTGGTTCAGGGTTTCTACTGAAACGCCCAGCCCTTGCTCTTCTATGATATTCCCCATTGCTCTGTCCCAGTGCTCGGGACTGTCCTGAAAAAGAGTGCCGAAAGCATCGAAAACTAAAGTGGTTATTTTGGACATTAGTTGCTAGGTATCCTCTCATCTAAACGGGTGGTTCGCAGGTCTGCTTGAAGGACTGGCAGATTATTGTGCCGCCTGTGGACGGACCGGTATGCCTCTGCCTTTCAGGTATTCCTTCGCCTGGGCGATGCTATAGGTCCCATAGTGGAATATGGAAGCGGCAAGCACTGCGTCGGCCTGCCCGCGGTCCAGAGCATCGTAGAGGTGTTCAAGGTTTCCGGCCCCGCCACTCGCGATAACCGGCACTGGTACCGACGAAGAAATGGCTGCGGTCAGCTCCAGGTCGTAGCCAGCCAACTGCCCATCTGCATCCATGCTGGTAAGCAGAATTTCCCCTGAACCGCGCTCTACCGCCTGAAGTGCCCACTTGACTGCGTCAATTCCGGTTGGAGTTCGGCCACCCCGGGTGTAGACTTCCCAACCCGATTGGTCGTCCAGAGCAAGGGACTGGTCAGCACATTTTGCGCCCGTCACCTGTTCTGGGTCGCCTTCCTTAACCCGTTTGGCGTCAATAGCCACTACTATGCACTGGCTGCCGAACTGGGCGGCGCCGTCGGCAATAGTATCGGGACTATTGATGGCCGCCGTGTTTATTGACACCTTGTCGGCCCCGGCGTTGAGCATCCGGCGCATGTCCTCCAGTGTCCTGATACCGCCGCCTACGGTTAACGGTATGAATACCTGCTCCGACACCCGCTGTACCACGTCCACCATGGTATTCCGTGAATCGGCGCTGGCGGTTATGTCAAGAAAGACAAGCTCGTCGCCACCTTCCCGGTCATAAAATGCCGCTAACTCCGCCGGGTCTCCCGCGTCTCGCAGGTTAACGAAGCTGGTGCCTTTGACCACCCGGCCGGCGTCCACGTCTAGGCAGGGAATTATACGTTTGGTAAGCATAAAACCATCATGCTCCGACGCTTTCTTTTGCGCCCCAAGCAGTATACCACCATGTGCGTTTTTCTAAAGCCGATTTCCCCGCCGCCAGCGCTGCCAGTTTTCACTCGCGTCTTTCTCGGTTGGCAGCTATGTGCCTTTCGGCTAAAATGAGCCATCCTTACAGATTGAGGTGAAACATGGCAATAACACTGGAAGAGGCCAACCGGATTGTTGAGGGGGCTCTGGCCCAGGCAGCGGAATTTGACATCAAGATCAGCGCGGCAGTGGTGGATGGCGGAGGCCGACTAATCGCCATGCAAAGGATGGACGGGGCCATTTGGGCCAGCGCTTATGGCTGCCAGGGCAAGGCAGTGGCTTCCGCCGCCTTTGGCCGCTCCAGCGGCGAGATGCAGGACCGGGCAACCCAGCCTACCCCCGCCGGCATCAATGCAGCGTCGGGCGGAGAAATGATAATGGGCCAGGGAGCAGTTCCCATCATTCGTAATGGCGTCATCGAGGGCGCTTGTGGCGTGGGTGGCGGTTCCAGTCAGCAGGACGAGGACTGCGCCAAGGCCGGTGTGGCCAAGCTCTAGCTTGGCTCCGCTTTCTCCAGGTAGCATCGCGGTCCGAGTGATATGGTTAACGGACTTCGGACGGGCAGCCCTTGTGGTTGCCCTGTCCCCTTAGCTAGTCCACCTAAAGCGGAACACTACTTTTCTCCAGCGGGCATTTACTCGGTGAAACTGGTACGCCCATTGGAGTTGTCCCAAGCAACGATTTCATGGCAGGAATGCCAATACGGATACAGGTGACCCACTGCCTCCCTGAAGGCGCAGCGCCCCAATGACCAAGGTTGCGCCGACGGGAGGCAACTGGTCCAGGTTGCAGAGGTTTTCCAAAACGATTCTGGGTTGTTCCAGCACCCGGCGGTTGGCTGAAAAGGTTGTGTCCAGGCCTCCATCCACCCCGTGAGTGTCAATACCAATTCCGGCCACGCCTCGCTGGGTCAGCAGTACTCCCAATGACTGAGCGTCAAAGCCCGGGAAATGCATTTCCCCATCCTCACCTGCGCCAAAGTAAGCCTCCTGGTCGTCCCACTTTTCCTGCCAGCCCGTATAGAGCAAGGCCAGACTCCGCGGCGGCACGGGCCCATTCTGACGCTCCCACTCCAGAAGTCTGTCCACCCGCAGCATGTAATCCGGGTTAGACCCCGCCTCGTCTCTCACGTCTATCACTACAGCCGGGGCGACAAAGGCGGAAGGCGGGTACTGGTCAATGGTTGCGCCTTTGGCGTGGAAACCCGCCGCAACGTTTAGGTGAGTCCCCGTGTGCTCTCCCATGGAAAAGCGTCGCAGGAAGAACCCATCCCTTTCCAGTTCGGCCACGGTCTCGAATTCCGTAACCGGATCACCGGGCCAGCAAGGGATGTTGGGTTCCAGTGTATGGCTGAGATCCACGATGCGGTGGCTTTGAAGGAAGCTGTTCATGCAGGTATGGCCGGGAACTTCAGGAAGTTGAACAAGGAGGGCATCCTATTCCCACTCTTCTCTTTCGCCGTGACTGAACCGCCCCAGGAAAACATCGGTCAAAATATTCGTCTCCTCGACCGACTTGGGTGTACCGTCATGCACGACACGTCCCTGGTCCAGCACGTATGCCCGGCTGGCAATATCCAGGACTCCTTTGATGTTGTGCTCCACGACAAAAATCGTCGTTTTGAGCTTTTCGTTAATCTCGTGGACCTTCTCGAAGACCTCTTTCACAATAATGGGGGCCAGACCCAGCGTAGGTTCATCCAACAGAAGTACCTCGGGGGCCGCCATCAGCCCGCGGCCCAAGGCCAGCATTTGCTGCTGGCCTCCGGACATCTGGCTGGCCATATCCCGCCGCTTTTCGTGGAGTAAAGGAAACAGTTCCAGCACCGATTCCAACCTGCGAGCCTGTTCCGCCCTGTCGTTCAGATAAATGCAGCCCAGCTCCAGGTTTTCGAGGACGGAAAGGTGAGTGAATACCCGGCGTCCCTGGGGAACGAAAGAAATGCCCAGTTTGACTATCTCGTGGGTTGCAGCTTGCAGGGGGGCCCCACGCCAAAAGACCTGGCCGGCCGTAACCGGCACCAGTCCCATAATAGCCTTCAAGACTGTGGACTTTCCGGCACCGTTAGGCCCCATGACCGCAGCCAACTCTCCCCGTTTCAAACCCAGGTTAGCCTGTTCCAGCGCAACCACTGCGCCAAACTGGACCGTCACGTTGCTCAATTCCAAGAGCATTCCTGATTCTTCGCCATTTGCGGATTCTTCAGAGTTCACGGTTTCTATAAGCTCTTGGCTCATAAGCTCGCCCCTAAGTAATCAAACAACGCGGTATTGACCGGGCTCAGGCCCCCAGGTAGGCAGAAATTACCTCCGGCTGATTAAGGACATCCTCAACCTGGCCGGCTATAAGCAACTTTCCGCCGTCCAACACTATCAGATGATCAGCCATCTCTCGCACAATGTCCATGTTGTGAGAAACAAAGATGATGGTGCGACCTTCGTCCCGCATCCCTTTCAAAATATCCTTCACTCGCTCCAGCATTTGAGGAAACAAGCCGGCGAAGGGTTCGTCCAACAGGTAGATGTTGACGTTGAGGGCCATGGCCCTCCCGATTTCCAGGAGCTTGCGTTGGCCGTAGGACAGGTCCATGGCCAGCGAAGTCCGTTTTTCCCACATGCCGACCTTTTCGAGGATTTCCTGCGCTCTCTCGCGGTATTTGCGATTGGTGCGTTCGAACAGGGAAGGCCAAAACTTTCGGGTCGTCAGTACCACCAGGATGTTGTCCAGGACGCTAACCTGATCAAAAAGCCGGATTTCCTGGAAGGTGCGGGTGATACTGTGGCCGGGCGTTTCGTAGGCATGGATAGTTCTCAGACCCCGCCCGTCGACTATAACCATTCCCCCATCCAGGGGCAGCGTACCGCTTAGCAAGTTGATCAGTGTTGACTTGCCGGAGCCGTTGGGTCCCACGACGCTCGTCACGCCCCGCCTGGGTATGGAAATACTCAGGTCGTCCACCGCTGCTACCGCCCCGAAGTACTTGGAAATCTCCACTGTTTCCAGGATGTAGTTTTCGGCATCGCCGGTATGCGGGCTGCTCATAGCCGGAACCTCCCAACCAGTCCTTGCGGCCGGAACATCATCAACACGACCAGCAAGACCCCCAGCACAATTTGGCGTGCCTGGCCCACGTACTCCTGAGGCAGGAAAGGCAGAAAACGCATCCCCTCCTCCAGCAGCACAAATGCCAGGGCGCCCAGCAATGACCCCCAGATGGTTGCCAATCCACCCAGGATTACTATGGAGACCAGCAGCACCGATTCCAGAAGTATGAACGAATTGGGGTCTATAAAAGTGGTCCAACTCGAGAACATGCCCCCTGCCAACCCGGCCATCATTGCCGAAATCACCCAGATGGCAAGTTTGTAGTGGCTGGCGTGGTACCCGAAAACCTCAGCCACCTGCTCGTCCTCCCGGATGGCGGTTAGCACCCTTCCGAAGGACGAGGACACTATGAACCATGAAATGACAACTACAATCGCCAGAAACACGAAAGCCAGACCCATGAGTTCCAGCTCAGAGTCAAGCACCCAGCTACCAATTTGTGGCCTGGCAACATCGTGGATTCCAAAAGCGCCCCGAGTGATCACGCGGAAATTAAGGAAAACATTGAAGGCAATTATAGCGAATCCGAAGGAGACCAGGACATAGATGTCGTCCCTGAAGCGATTGAAGGCTAGCCCCACCAGGAGCGCGACCAGGCCGGCCACCAATATGGCTACCGGCAATGCCGCGAAGAAAGGCCAGCCGAAGGTAGGAATTGCCCCGGTTCGCAGTTGTTCATAGGAAGTGGTCGAAGTCAGGATGGCAACGGAATAGGCCCCCAGACCGAAAAAACCAATATGCCCGATGGACAAGAGGCCACTGTAGCCCACTACCAGGTTCAGGCTGACCGACAGCATTGCCCAGATAGCAAACACGGTTCCCAGGGTAACGCCGAAAGAAGCCCCTTTCCAGAGCATGAATATCACTGCGCTGGCAATAATAACCAGATTTGCCCACAGCTCGATATTGCCCTTTGAAAGCGACAACAGATCCCGAGGATTGCGTATTGCCGCTGTAATTTTTTGCCAACTCGAGAGTCTCGTTAGCACAAGCTCACTTCCTCGGTAGAAGTCCCCGGGGCCAGAAAGACAAGAAAAGGATCAACAACACGAAGGCCACCACGTCTTTCCACTCGCCCGCCAGGTCCCAAATGGCAAATTGCTCGATGACGCCCAGGATAAATCCGCCCAGAATTGCCCCGTACAAGTTGCCAATCCCGCCTACGACGGAAGCTATCCAACCCTTCAACAGCAGCAACAGGCCCATACGGGGTTGAATTGCCGTGTCGTGACCACTCAGGATACCGGCCATTGCCGCAAATATGGCTCCGACGAAAAAGACTATGGCGATAATCATAGTGGTATTGATGCCCACTACTTTGGAAACTTCCTCGTCATCGCCAATGGCCCGGACCGCACGACCAAATGAAGTCCACTTCAGCACGCCGTATAATCCCAGGAATCCTGCTATCGCAACCCCGACGACAAAGAAATTAAACCCCTTGACGAATGCGCCGCCAATAGTCCATGGCACGGTGCCGAAGGGGTCGGGGAGGGGTCGGGGGGCGCTCGCGAACACTATCGAAATTGCAGCGGACAGCGCCAACAGGATACCCAGCGAGGCCACCAGCATTATCAATGGCGACCTGGACCGTTGGCGCATATGAACATAGAGGCCACGGTAAAGCGCCAGCGCGACCGTCCCGGCCAGAAGGCTCGAGACAACCCAACTGAGGTAAAGCTTGCTTCCAGGTGAGTGGAAGATGTAGCTTCCTACAAACAGGGCCAGGGCCACTGCCAAAACGCCGACAACTGCAGTGCAGACACGCAATCCGGTTCGGCCTGCCACCCTCTCGTAAAGGGCTCGGAGAATCAATACAAAACCGATGCCGACCGCAATTGCCACTGCCGGGCCAAAGACCTGGTGAAGTTCCCTGGGGTAGGTCAGAATTGCCCAGGTATAAACTCCGAGGCCAATCGCAAGCAATCCTACGGTGATTTTGAGGACTGTATCGCTGATTCGGCCCCGCAACCTGCCACGAAGCACCGCATAGATTGCCCAGGCAGCGACACCAACGACGAGCAGCGCGAAGAATACATTCACGACGGGGGTATTGACCTGGTATTGACCGCCGAGCCATTCCTGGGACCTGAGGTAGAACACCCCGTAGGCGCCCAGCGCGGCGGCCGCGCCATAGTACAAGTCAAAGAACCACACCGTGCTGTAAACCAGGGTAAACCCTATTGCCATGAGCGCGTACACCGCGCCTACGGAAACTCCATTGAAACCGAACTGCAGGGCCTGCTCCGGCGATGTAACTGCTCTCCAGCCGATGTAGGCCAATATGGCAATAACCAGAACCGTGGCGACCACCCGGTCCGCGCGCGCGAAATGACTACGCAAAGAGGCCATATCCTTTAACCACTTCAGACCAAATACCAGACTAACCTACCCTGTAATTGCTCTGTAGGCAAGGTGCTTACGGAAAATGTGAAGGCATCGGCTGGTTCACTACAATACATTGCCCAGCCCTGGTTCATACGACTTACCGCCTCCGCCGAACGTAGCTGACGATAAAGGGCAACGGGAAAGGCGGCCCTAAAAAGTGCGTTGAACTAGGGCAATTGGCTCGTTTCTCCCTCTGGCACATCACCCGTACAAAAGCGTCAGGGGATTGGTTTAACAAGTCACAAACCAATCCCCTGGATCTCTACGGTGTAACCGGAAGGTTACGGCAAAGGAGCGGGCCCAAGGACCTTGTACCCGTTGTTCTCCGCTGTCCGTTCACTGAGGGGCAGCACCTCAATTACGGCGTTGGCCAGGCCTTCAACTTCTCCCTTTTCGTTGAAGCTGTATCCATCTCCGATGGCCCCGCTCCAGGTGATGTCGTACAAGCAATCCCTGAAGCCGTCGGCGTCCTGGTCATCTCCCGTACGGCCTAGACATTCGGCGGCGATATGGACGTCGTCATAGGCTGAGCCGATAAACCAGGGCAAGGTTACGTAACCGTACCTCTGCCGGAAATTAGACAGGAAGTCCTTGCCTTTCTGTGTTTCCAGGTCTGGACTGGGAATTATTGACTTCGTCCCGGTGGCTGCTTCTCCGGCAATTTCCAGCGCGGTAGTACCGGTCGCCACAATTTCGGTATAGAAGGTCCCCTCAAATCCAAGCTCTCGTGCCTGCTTGATGATGGTACCCCCGGTAAATTCCGACTGGGCGGCCAGCAGCACGGCATCCGGATTCTCGGCGAATAGTTTGGTTAGCTGGGTCCTGAAGTCGGTTACGTCCGAAGAGTATTTTTCCGAGGCTACTACCACGCCTCCCAGTTCTTCAAACCGTTCAACTGAGGTCTTCTGGACACCTTCGGCATAGTCAGTGATCTCGTTTATCGTAACCAGGTTGCGTACGCCATCTACCCACATTGCGTTACCGGCGTCCACGCCCAGTTTGGCGTCATTTATGGCGGTCCGGAAAATGTAGTCTCCTGCATCTTCAATGTCCGGACTGGTTGCAGAAGCGGAGAAGAGTACTACCCCGTCTTCTTCTGCCAGTGGGGCGGCGCCCAGCATGGCGCCACTGCATGTAGTTCCCAGAATGATTTTTACGCCGTCCACGTCGGTGAGCTTCTTGTAAGCAGTTATCGAGTCCTGCCCGTTACATCTTGAGTCTTCAATAATCAAGCGCAGCGGACGACCGTCGACGCCGCCTGCCGCATTGATATCATCAATCGCCATCTGCTTAGCCTGCACAATTACAGTGCCGTAGCTCTCGCCAATGCCGGTCACCGCATCCATTGCTCCGATAACATAGGGTTCCATCGGGGCCATTGGCGGACCAGCAGTGGGGGTTGCGACAACCTCTACTGGTACCTCGATAGGAACTTCCCTCACAACTTCTACCTGTTCCATGACCGTTACCGGCACTTCTACGGGGACTTCTACAGGTACCTCTCTGACCACCTCCATGGGGACTTCTCTTACAACCTCTACTTCCCTTACAACGTCAACGGGAACTTCTTTAATAACCTCACGCTCTTCTACAATTGTTTCTGGAGCAGGGCACCCAAGTAACATCAGGGTCAATATGGGGAGCAGAACAAACAGAATCTTCTTTTTGCTGAACTGTATAAGCATGATCTCCTCCTGCCTTAAACAAATCAACCGTAGCACTGTCAGGAACCTGCAGTTCCCTAGCGACCTGCAGGTTCCTATTGTTCCATAACATGATACCTAGTATGGCATACTACGGCAAGAAGAATCATGACAACATATTGGCGCTCGACCTGACATTTTGTCTGAAATTCTGATTCCTTGAACTCTGATAGCCGTTGGGCCGGTCACGCTAAGTACCGGACCCAAGGTTAATCAGGCCGCCATCGACCCCCTTGCCAGCAGTAGGATCTCTTGTATCGTAACCTGGCTGTCCTTGAGTTTCTCCTCTATCGAAATGCGCGAGTCCACCCATTTCATTGCTTCGCGGGAGGTACCTACCGTTGCCAGTTCCACCCGGTCTGGCCGTCGATCATAAATCGTGTAGCAAATCTTGGGCACATCTTCGTGAATGACGAATCCTCGGTAGTAAACATTCATTCCTTTGGCCAGAGTTTCCTGCATTTGAGTGCTCCTTTACGAATCGGGTTGAGTCGGGAATCAATAGCTTCCTTTCCCTCCCTGAGTTGACTCAAATGTTCTAATAATGTGTGTGGTTAGTCAACCAGCAATTGTCAGTAGATTCCTTTCCGCCAGCGCCAGAACTGACCCACCTCCCGCCGCATACCTGCGCAGCTATCGGACAACTACCCCAACAGGTATTAATTGGCCTGTAACATTTAGTCCCCTGTTGATCGCCTTGGTTTGCCGGGGTGCTCTCAAGGGAGCAAATTGTATGGACACTTCCCGTCCTCCGCTATCGGCTTTGGCCCTGAAGGTCAACGTACCAAGGGTAAAGGGAAGTTCCCGAGCGTCACCCAATGTCCCAGCTGCATAGGCCACTCTTCCGCCGGAATTGTCCAGGACAGACTGCAACTGGTACTCCAGTCGCCCGCCGGACGCCAGAGAAATGGCCTCCAGTTTAGTAGCGTCAAAGTCCAGATAGACCTGCACTGTATCCACGCGATTGGTAACGCCGGCACTTACCTGAACAATGACATCAAACTCTTCTCCCTCGCGGACCTCAGTCGCGGCTGTTTCCAGGGCGATGGCCACGGTTAGTTCCGGCAAAGGAGTTACTGTTGGAGTAGGCGTGAGGGTGGGTGTAGGAGTCAACGTTGGCGTCCCTGTCGGAGTCGGTGTCAGGGTCGGGGTGGGAGTAATCATTACCGTAGGTGTTAGTGTGACGGGCGGAGTTGCGGTTACAGTCGGAACGCCGACTTGCTCAATTGTGGAGCTGGGAATGGGCGTGGCTCCCGGGAATAAGGTAGGGAACAATCCCCCTGTGGATGGAGTGGATTTCGGAGCAGCGGGAGACTCCTCAGGCAGCGGTGCAACAGGGGCAGGCTCCGCAGTGGGCACGTTATCGACTTGGGTCTCCGGCGACTCGGGTAAAGGTGTGGCAGTTTGGAGAACTGTTGGACTGCGGCGAGCAAAGTCTTCAGGCACCAAAACTATGGGGTTGGTGGACTGTGCCCTCGGCAAAGCCAGCGGAGTGGGAATTGGTGGAAGAGTGCTAAGTACCGGACCCAAGCCTAAAGGGGCCAGTTTGAACTCCCTTTCCGTCTCAGTTTCTCGGTATGCGTCGCCGGTAGAACGGCCACCAATCCACTCGCCACAGGATACAAGGATAACCACAAAAGCCAATGAAACAACCAGCGTATTGGAACCGAGAAAATTGCGGATGGTCCGCAACCCACCGCTTGCAAGGCTTGGGAAGAGAAAGCATTTTGAAGTTTGGGCATTTCTTGGAGAGGCAGATATTCCTAGCTTGAGGCCAGCGACTGCAAGAACTCCGACATGGGCCTGGTTTCCTGGGATGAAGTTTGCATGTCGCGAACTACCACTTCACCCCGCGCTATTTCATCGTCGCCCAGGATTACCACGTAAGGAATACCCAGCGAATTAGCTTGGCGCATCTGGCCCCGCAATGCCCGGGCACCGCTGCTGAGAATGGCACCCGCGCCCGTTCGACGTATGCTGGAAGCCAGCTCCAGGGCAGGCAGCCTGGCCGCCTCTCCCACATTGGCCACCAGGTAAGACGGGGCCGGTTCATCTGGGACTTCGACGCCGCTGCGCTTCAAATTCAGGGTCAGCCGCTCCAGTCCCGACCCAAATCCGATACCAGGGGTGGGACGGCCACCCAGTTGTTCGATCAGGCCATCGTAGCGGCCGCCGCCGCAAATGGTTGACTGGGCGCCGGCCTCCACCGGCTGAATCTCAAAAACTGTCCTCGAATAGTAGTCCAAACCGCGCACCAGGCGATGGTCAATCTGAAATGGTATATCCATTGCAGTGAGGTAATCCTGCAGCCTGGTCCAGTGATCGAGACTTTCGTCGTCCAGGTGGTCTACCGAGCGGGGAGCGTCCTCACCAATGGCGCGGCATTTTTCGACCTTACAGTCCAGCAACCGGAGGGGATTGCGGTCAAGCCGGCTGCGGCAATCCTCGCAGAGGATGTCGTGCCTCTGGCCATAGTAGGACTTCAGTTCCTCTACATATCGGGGACGGCTTTCCTTGTCGCCGATGCTGTTGACGAAAAGGCGAATATCGGTCAGGCCCAGTGAGTGCATCAACCGCCAGGCCAATTCGATGACCTCTGCGTCGACCGCCGGGTTGGCATCCCCCAATACTTCCACGCCGAACTGGTGATGCTGCCGGAACCGGCCCGCCTGGGGACGCTCGTAGCGAAACACCGGGCAGAAGTAATACATCCGCACCGGTTGGGGCAGATTGTGCATCCCGTGCTCAAGATAAGCGCGGCAAACGGGGGCTGTACCTTCAGGCCTGAGAGTAACCTGGTCGCCTCCCCGGTCCTCGAAGGTATACATCTCTTTCTCGACGATATCGGTGCCTTCTCCCACAGAACGTACAAACAGCCCGGCGTCTTCAAAGACAGGGCTGTCAATACGCCCGTACCCATAGCTGCGGGCCAGGGCTACGGCCTTGGATTCTATATAGCGGCGGTACTTCTGTTCTTCAGGAAGAAGGTCGGCGGTGCCTCTGGGGGCTTGAAACAACGGGGTTCACTCCGAAGTATTATTGTTAGCGGTTGGTACCTGCATGACCACGGCAATTGTAGTCCCCGCCTTGGGATTACTCAACCCTTCTCCCAATGCGGGCGGGCTTGGTACGACGCTTGGCGCCTGCATCAATTATGACCTGCAAAGCCTTGCGATTGCTCTTGCGGCGCTTTTTCTCTATGCGCCTGGTGTGCTTTTCCGCTCTTCGTTCCGCTCTAAGCATGTTCTCACCATTCCCAAAGAAAGAAACGGTTGCCTCGTCTCAGGCGGCCTTCCAATTTCTCCTACACCACCCCTTCTTCCCGCAACTTCACCAATTCCTCCGGGGTAACACCCCCTATGCTGCACAGAATTTCATCGTTGTCTTCGCCCAGCAGGGGCGGCGCCTTGGCCGCCGTGTCCGGAGACTCGGTGAGCCGGATGGGATTGTTGACGGTACGGAACGGGCCCCCCAAAGAATCGCCGCTTTCAACGAACATGTGGCGAGCCTCCAGGTGGGGACACTGGTCCAGGTCGGCAGCATCCTGCACGACTCCCATGGAGAAACCAAGTTCGATCAGCTTCTGGGCGATCTCCAGCTTGGGCACGTGCTGCGACCACTCTTCAATGGCCGGAACTATGAAATTGAAATAGAACTCCCCGCTGATACCTTCTCCCAGGTATCGCCGATCTTCAATCAGGTCTTCCCTGCCGATTAACTTCCAGAGTCCTTCCCATTTCCCGCCACCGCCGCCGGACCCGGCCAGCACCGCGTACCCGTCAGACGCCTTCAGAGCCAGTTGAGCGGTGATCATGTTTTCGCGGGCCCGGGTAGTTATCTGGCCGCTGGCCTGGTAGAAGGGCATTATGCTGGTGGTGTGGGCAACCATGCAGTCGTACATTGCCATATCCACGTGCTGTCCCCGTCCCGTCTTGCGACGGGTCTCCAGGGCCATCATGATGCCCAAGGCAGTCCAGACGCCGGGCACTGAGTCCCCAATGTTGTCTCCCACCATCTGAGGAGGTCCGTCAGGAGCGCCGGTAATTTCCATCCACCCGCCCATGCCCTGAACACAGGGGTTGTTGGCCGGCCACTCCGAGTAGGGTCCCCGCAGCCCGTCGCTGTCGCCGTAACCCGTGATGCTGGCATAAATCAGGCGGGGATTCAGCTCGCGCAGCCTTTCAAACCCGAAGCCCAGGCGGCGCAGGGCGCCCGGCCCCCAGTTGTCCAGCAGAACGTCGGACTCCTTGATCATACTCTCAAAGATTTCCTTGCCCCTCGCATTGCGCAGGTCCAGGGTTATGCTCTTCTTGTTCCGGTTGATTGCCAGGAAACGGGCGCTCGCCTTACGGCCGTCTTCACTCTCGACGAAGGGCTCATTAAGGCGGGCCCTCTCCCCTACCCTGGTGCGCTCAATCTTGATAACCTCGGCGCCCATGTCGGCCAGAATCATGGCGCAATAGGGCCCTGCCACGATGTGGGTGGCATCCAATACCCGCAGGCCCTCCAGCGGCCTGGGAATTGCTTGGTTGTCGGTAGTCATATCGTCTCCCCCTATGCCAGGTAACGGGCTAATGTAGGCCGTAATATAATCTACCAACCGAGGAAGTGACAATTCCAGAGAAGTGGGCAGCCCCACGAATCGCACTGTATTTAACCAGTCGTCAGGGCAGGAATCTACGTTGATTGGTGGATGAGACCATCGCAACCCTGCGAGTTACCCCTAAGAGTGTTGCGCTTCAGGCCGTCTACAGAGAACCTCTTTAGCCAGTTCAGCATCTTGACATGGAACGGAGGAAAGTCCTAAACTCAATAGGTAACGCATTAGTGCGTTATTGTTTTTAGATGGCCCGGTGGTGTAGTTGGTTAACATACTGCCCTGTCAAGGCAGAGATCGGCGGTTCGAGTCCGCTCCGGGTCGCCACCTTCTTCTGAAACCAGTCAAAATCGGCGCTTGAGATGATCGGGCGCCCTTTCTTTTTGCCCGGCAAAAAAGGGGCGGCTACGAAAGCCGCCCCAGATTGTTTACCGTTTTCCCCTTAGACGCTTAGCTCTGCTTCTCGTACTTGTCCACACCCACGCCGTCGGGCACACCCACGTAGATGTCGCCGTGGGGGGCGATCCAGGAACCGTGGCCGCCGCGGATTACCCAGCGGGCCAGCAGTTCTCCGCTGGTGTTCATCAGGCTTATGCGGGAATCGGTGTCCTCGGTCCAGCCCTGGCGCGCATCCCGTCCGCCCTCGCTGATGCAGAAGACGCCGTTGTCGTCCTGGGAAATATCCATGGGCCGCAGTACGTCCGTCCACATAGTCTGGTACTCGCCGTCGGCGTTGAATATCTGGATCCGATTGTTCTCACGGTCACAGACATAGAGCAGGCCATCGGCGCCCACAATCATACTGTGGACCAGGTGGAACTGGTTGGGAGTGTCCTTGCCGGGCTCGCCCCAGGAGGACTTGAGCTGGCCGTCGGCGGCAAAGCGGTGGACGCGGGCGTTGCGGTAGCCGTCGGCCACGTACATGTCTCCACCGGCGCCGGGCACCAGCTCAGCCGGATAGTTGAAAGGACCGGCCGCACGGGGGCAAAGCTCGCCCGGGACTTCACAGCCGGTGTCGGAGTGGACACCGCGGTCGCCGATTACCTGCAGGGGCTTGCCGTCCAGGGTGTAGCGCAAGCACACCGAGTCCTCGCGGTCGGTGATGTAAACGATGTCATCCTTGATGAAGATGCCATGGGGGTTGCTGATGGCGTTCAGGCCCCAGGAACCGATAAATTCGCCGTCGGGATTGAAGATGACGATGGGCGGCTCTTTGCGCTGGAAGGCATAGAGATTGCCCTCGGAGTCGGTAGCGCAGGCGCTGACCATGCCAAAAGTCTCACCCTCAGGCAGCTTGGCCCAGCTCTCAACAAGCTCGTAAGTATATTCTCCGCTTCCTACGGTAGTCATAGGATGTTTCCCTCCACAATATTATGTTGTACGCCCCAAGTATCGGTAGTTGAGGGTGGGGAGTCAATAGGGGGATCGAGTTCTTGCAGAAGAAGAAAGGTCCCCATTAACAAACAGTGGATTTCTAAAAAATGCATTCGACAAACTCGAAATACAAACCGGCTGGATATAACCTCTCGCAATTTGCACATTGAATTGGATACGGTATGAAGAACACAACGAAAAGAGCAACTGGACTTTACCATTCCAACTTGAGATTATAAAAGTCCTTGATTAGATAGCCTCTTATTATTAACAATTTAGGATACTTATGGTACACTAACCAATAGGCTGAGGGCTTCCTCAGTCAAATTTTTTGGGAGGAAGCAATTATCGATAATACCTGGTATAACAAGCTCTTGAGGCATTTTGGTGCCTGACATTGCTCCTTCCCGACGGGGTGTGCCTATTCGCTTAACTGATCAACGGTGGACACATATAGTGGAGAGGCACAGTGAGCTTAGCGAACTACGTTATAAAGTACTAGCCGCAGTAGAAAATGCAGAACGTGTTATGGAGGGCGGAGAGGGAGAGTTACTTGCAGTCAGGCTATATCAACCTGGGAAGTGGCTCGTGGTAGTATATAAAGAAATCGATTGCGACGGCTTCGTGATTACAGCCTACTTAACTAGCAAGGAAGGATCGCTGCAGCGAAGAAAGCAATTATGGCCTTGAAGAATCTAAACGAATACCTGTCCCTCATCCCCGTGGTACGGCAGTGCCCCGGAGGCAGCCTCTGGTCCTCTTATGACGAGGAAGGCGATGTTCTGTACGTTAATTTCCGGGAATCGGTTCCCGCTACCGATAGCGAACTGACCGACGATGACATCATCCTCCGTTATGACGGCGACGACCTCGTCGGCATCACCATTCTGCACGCCAGCAAGCGGTGACCAGACCCCTGTTCCTCACTGACTTTCTACAGTAGCCCCCTACTTCCCCCGCTTCGACTGGTATTCCTTAACCGCCGAATCACTTCCTGCCCCAGCAGGTCAATGCAGCGCACCGCCGTTTCGTGGGACATCGGGCCCTCGCGTCCCCACAGCACCAGAGAACTGGGGTCCACTATGTCAATAACGTGCTTCAGCTTTTTAATTACCGTATCCGGGTTGCCGGTAACAATCTGGTAGGTGGCGTGCGCCTCTTCGTAGCTGAGGGGTGGCCCGCCGGGGGCTACTGGCCGGTTGTCGTTATTGCTTTCAGCGTTAACGTACCGGGTTGTCGCCCGCCGCTGCTGCCGTTGACCCTGCGTGGCGGCCCGGCTCAGGTAGCCTGGCGGGGCCTGCCATTCCCTGGGGGCCACACCAAAGGACGTCCCCAACTGCCAGAAGAACTTCTTGCCTTCCTCGTAGGCCCGCTCGTCGCTGTCCGCCACGTTGACCCGGATGGCGTAGCCCCGGTTGTCCGACGTGGGAGTGTAACCCTCTTCGGCAGCGGTACGGTCGTACAGGTCGTAGATTTCTTCCATCAGGTCCAGCGGCGGCGCCAGGGCGATATAGGGATAGCGATGGCGGGCGGCGAAGATCACCGACTCCGGGCTCGCCACGCCGGGAATCCAGATGGGCGGGTGAGGTTTTTGTAAGGGCATGGCCCAGGGATTGATCGCCCTGAAGTGGTAGTGCTTGCCCTCCCAGCGGAAGGGGCCCGGCGTAGTCCAGGTCTTAACTATCAGGTCGTGGGCTTCCTCGAACCGCTCCCGGTTGTAAATCGGGTTGGTGTTGGTGGCCCAGCTTTCCTGCCCCAGTCCCCGCACGAACCCGCAGACTACGCGCCCGCCGGAGATGCAGTCGATCATGGCAATTTCTTCGGCCACGCGCAGGGGGTTTTCATGGATGGGCAGGACGTTGCCCAGGAATACGATTTTCCCTTTCTTGGTCAGCTTGGAAAGGACGGCGCCGATGACGTTGACCGAGGGCATCATACAAAGAGGGTTGTTGTGGTGCTCGTTGATCATCACCCCGTCAAAGCCGTTTTCGGTGCAGTACTGGAGTTCCTCGAAGTACATGCTGTAAAGTTCCGAGGCCTTTTCGGGACTGAGGTTCTCGTTGGGGAACATCAGGTTGGTATAGCCGTAGCTGGCGGCGGTTTCCTGCGAGTAGGCGGTGTATCCCATCTCGGTGAAGAAGAAGACTTCCTTGACCATGGCCTGACTCCTTTAACCGCCCCGTTTTGACTGTACCTGTCGGTGCGGTGGGGTAGCTATTGGTTCACCTGCGAGGATTCCAGTTAGTGGTTGGAAGGGACCCAATTGTTCGACTAAAACTGCGAGGCCGAGCTTTTCAGTTCCCGCACACCGCAATCCCCCGCGCCTTGATCCCCATCCGGTAAATTGTGGTGCGGCAGGCAAAGAAGATGGTCTTCAGGTCTTCCCCGCCGATGGTGAAGTTATGGCACGGCTCGGGAGTACGGATCAGGCCAAGATGGTTGCCCTGCGGGTCCATGACCCAAACGCCGCCTGGACCGGTGCAATAAACGTTACCCTCCGTATCCACCTTGATTCCGTCGGGATGCCCCACGTCGGCGCCGTGCAGGTCGGCGAAGTGCCGGGGATTGGCCAGTGTGCCATCGGGCAGCACGTCAAACACCCGGATGTAGTGGCGAGTAGTGTCGTTGACGTACATCAGCGATTCGTCCGGTGAAAAGCACAGGCCGTTCGGGAATACCATGTCGTCATTGAGCAGGGTCAGTTCGCCAGTAGCGGCGTCCAACCTATACACGCCCTCGTAGTCCAGGTATTTTTGAAGGTCCTCGCCCTGGTGCCCCACCAGGTGGCAACCATTGGACGGATCGGTGAAGTAAATGTTGCCGTCGGACTTGATAACGATGTCGTTCGGCGTGTTCAACTTGACGCCGTTGAAGTGAGAGGCCAGGGTCGTGGGAGTTCCGTCCCGCTCAATGCGCCAGACCGTGCGGCCGCTCCAGCCAGCGATGACCAACCGGCCCACACTATCGAAGGTCATGCCATTGGCGTGGGCCGAGGGACGCTTGGCGATTCTCTTGCCCTCGCCGGGCACCCACTTCCAGATTGCGTCTCCAATTATGTCAACCCAGGCCAGGTAACCCTCCCGATGGTTCCAGACCGGCCCCTCGGTAAAGGTAAGTCCGGTTGCCACCTTCGAAAAGGCAACGTCTTCAGGAACCAACCGGCGAAAATCGGGAGTGAACGCCTCGGTTACCATTGGCCCCTCCTGGGGTTACGTTAATTCTAAAGCCCTTTAATCACCAGTCAGCGGGCGCCTTCGCCTTTCAACCGTCATTCCGGCCAAGGGCGGAATCCAGGAACCTCATTCTCTAATGACGTTGACTGCGACAAACTCCTCTGCATCCCGGAAGAGATACACTCCAGCGGGCCGCAAATGAAACTCCTAACGATTCTGACGTACTCTTCGAGACCAGCTACCCAACCTGCGGGTACAGCACCCAGCCTTGGCGTCCCGTGCCGTTTACCCGATAAAGGTGGCCCTCGGTGGTGGTCACGTAAAGGTCGGTAAGGCCGGCCCCGCCAAAGGCGCAGTTGGTAGGCTCTGCTGGAACGGGGTGCGTCTCCAGCACCTGTCCGGTGGGGGAGAAGACATAGATCATCGGCCCAGGACCGCTGCCCTCTGACCCGGCACAAGCAATGATGTTGCCGTCAGTATCCAGGCACATGCCGCTGATGCCCCGGTGAACGCCCCGATAGTCGGCGCCAAAACTGTGCAGAACCTTGTACTCACCCAGGGAACCGTCACCGTTGATAGGATATGCCCGAAGTTCCCGCTTCCCCTCCAAGTCATCATTGCTTTCCGCTACGTAGAGTATGTCCTCTTCCCGCGACAGAGCTACGTCCAGGGGGGTTGTCGTGTCGTGGGTCATCCGGGTAAGGGGGGCATCCTTGTTGGGCGACTCGATACGGAGCACGGCGCGGTAGTCGATGGAATAGGGAGCCAACTCATAATCACGCAGCCCTCCCACCACCGGGGGGCCCCAAACCGGGTCTGCAAACCAAATTCGACCCCGGCTGTCTATTGCCAGGTCCTTGGGCTGATTGTGGTACTTCCCGTCGACCTTGTAGGCCATGACCGATGCCGACCCGTCCCCGTTATAGCGCAATATCCGCCGGGCCCCACTCTGGCAGCCGTACAGGGTGCCATCGGCGGAAAAGGCCAGGCCCACCACTCGGTTGGTCCAACCCCGATAGTCGGTGACTTCGCCGGACCGCGGGTCGTACCGCAGTATCTTGTTGTGGATGGTGTTGGACGGGACCGACACCGACGTGAACAGCAAGGTCTCCCCGTCCCAGACCGGCCCATCGGCGTGATTGCCGTTGGGTCCGGCCACCAGTTCAAATTCCCAGGTCATTGGCGTCTCCTGTGTGCGGCTTTGATCTAAGTAACCCGCTCATGGTGAGCCTGTCGAGCCATTGGATTCCTGCGATGCATTCTTTGGCGGGCTCAGGACGAGCGGTCTGAATATAGGCTAATTGCTGATCCCGGGTATGGGATAAGTGGGCAGCCCCGGTATCTCCACCCGTATGCGGTAGATAGAGCTTCGGGCGGTGAAGTAGATGGTGCGGTAGTCCGGGTCGCCGAAGCCGAAGTTGGCGCAGTCTTCCGGAATCAGGAAGCGGCCCAGATGGTTGCCCTGCGGGTCGGTCACCCACACTCCGCCGGGGCCCGTGCAGTACACGTTGCCTTCCACGTCCACTTTCATGCCGTCAGGCGCGCCGTGGTCGTCGTGGAACAATTCGGCAAACAGACGCTCATTCCCAATCGTACCGTCTTCCAGCACGTCATAAACCCTTATGTGGCGGCGAGCGGTATCGTTTATATACAAAAGGGACTCGTCTGGCGAAAAGCAAAGACCATTGCAGTTTATGTAGTCATCGGCCAGCAGGGTCAGGCTGCCGTCGCTCAAGTCCAGCTTATACACCGCCTCGTAGTCCACATACTTCTGAACGTCCTCAGACTCCATGCCCACGTTGCGGATACCGTTGGACGGATCGGTGAAATATACTATGCCGTCGGACTTCATGATGATGTCGTTGGGGGTATTCAGCTTCTTGCCGTCCACGTGGGAGGCCAGCACCGTGGTGGAACCGTCGTGCTCCCACCGCCACACGGTGCGACTGCTCCAGCCGGCCACCAGCAGGCGACCGTCATGGTCGTAGCACATCCCGTCAGCCTTGCCCGAGGGGTGCATGATTATGCTGGTGCCCTGCCCGGGAATCCACTTCCAGATCTTGTTGTCGATTATGTCGGTCCAGACCAGGAAGTTCTCCTTGTTGTTCCATACGGGGCCTTCGGTGAAAAATATGGCCGCCGGAGATCTTTTCCAAAGTGGCATTAGGCTTGACGATACGGCTGAATCCAGGGGAGAACATCTCTGAGGACATTCGTGGCTCCTTGCTTGCTCGGGTTGCGCTGAGACGGTGAAAAGACCGTCGCAGCTTTTATTGCTCAAAAATGCCAAGGGGTTTTCGGACTACAGGATTGTAGGAAGGGCCCCCAACCTTGTCAAGAAAAGTCTGTGGCACGGTAGATTGGTAAATGGACGAAGGGTGACCTATAATTGGGCGCCCGACAAACTTGAGAGACTAAGACTGGCTCTACACAAAAGCGCTAGTACGCCAAAATTGGGGTTCGGCGTCAGTTTCCAGGGTCTTGGCCCTTTCCTCCCATTAAGCATGACTCCTTGGCATAGGAGGTTCAGACAATGCGCGATTTCAAGGCGCTGTTCCCGCACCCAGGCACCGAATATCTGGGAACCTCTGTATCTTTTTGGTTCCTCGTTCTGCTGACCGTTGTTACAACGGCGCGGAGCCTCGCTCACATGCTGCTCCCCGACGGCGGCGCGACCGTGATTGCCGGTCTGGATACTTCTAATGAAGGGCGCGGTAACAACCTCATTGCAATAT